TGGATGTTAGATAAACATCGTAGTGTTAGGTAGCCCGGTGCAATACAGTATTTGATTAATTAGATATATTATACGCCATTACAACTTAATGGATAGTATTTTCTTTGTTGATAATTTCGGGATTCGAAGTCAAAGCTCATACATTTCTTTGGGTTTGGTATTAAACAGTTTATAATATTAAGACATGGTATAAATCATTTTCTTAAAAAGGATTGAACTTAGTACAATAAAACCAACTCTTTATACAAACCACTACTACCATATCTTTAGTAAATCAAGGATAAGGAAGATACATCGTAAGTGATGCATAAGGAGGACATAATATACACGTTTGGACAATTCAACTCCGAATTTCGATCGATTTGGAAAATCCGGTGTGAACTAAAAGAAACAAAAAGTGACCCACATACACTGGAAACGTGCCTCAGGCATAAGGAGGATACTTGGTTCATTAGTATACACAGATTGGAAAGGCCACATCACAACATGCATGCTCTATAATCTTAAAGAAATAAGTAAGAAAAATTAACATCTTCGCCGCCCACGTATAGTCTACACGAATTATCCATTTAAACATGAATTTGACTATAAATTCTTTCTTTTTTTTTGTTTATCGTCTCTTATGAATAGAGAGAGAGAGCTTATTATGATCGTAAAAAAATGCACTCAATATATATATATATATATTTTTTGAAATGTTAAATTTATAATTTGCTAACAACATGGGAGAAAATTCGATTCGGTTGCATGCAAGCATGAAACTCACAAGGCACAAAAGAGCATTAAAGCAAAATTCTACTTGCAAACCAAGGTTGAATATAAAACCCATCTAGGTTTTCACTCCCTGGTTCAATTTCATTTTGTGATACATCGACCAAAGTGAATGAAGATGTGGAGGTGGTATCTGGTCTTGCATTGGTCCAACAAATTATAGACAATATAAACAGAAAAGAAAAACAAAGCATGTGATGATTAGGAATTAGCTTCCAACAGAATAACCGTTACCCTGAAACCTTTGTCGGCTCATACGTGGTGACTTCCTTAATCACATGCATTATTTTTTTCTTTTCTCGATGCAAATATTTGCATAAAACAATGTCCATTTTTTGTGTTTTCTTTTTGTCAATGTCCATTGTTGTTTTCCTACTTAAAATAATTTATTTTTCCTTGGAACTTGTGAAATAAATTCATCAGTCAAATTATTAGCTTCCGCTTCTGATGACTTCTAATAGAAAAGTTCTCTGACATGTTCGAGAATCGAGACCACTTGCCAACAGACAGAGTCCAACAGAAAACTAACAAACTGATTAACTGATTTTGCCTCCATACCAGAAAGTGCATCCTAATGTTCTTTGTTCATTAAATAACACTACAAGAAAACATGTGATTTCCAACGACCATATCCGTCGGAAATTCGTCTGGAAATGGCATTTCCGACGAATTTCCGACAAAATATGGTGGTCGGAATCATCTCGTCGGAAAAAACAAAATGGTCAAAAATCGGTCGGAAATTTCTGACTGATTTCCGACGGACTAAACTTTCCGACGGATTTCTGACGAGCTTAACTTTTCTGACCAAACTCCGAGGGACGTGGTATTTCCGACCCTTTTCCGACGGCTCCACGATTTCCGACGAACTTCCAACAACTCTACAAATTTGTCAATTACCAACGGATTCCCGATGGATTTAGTTTTCCGACGGAAAATTGAGAGATATAGAATTCGATAATTTCCGACGGATTTCCGACGGAATATTTTTATTTATTTTCTGACCAATTTCCGACCACTCCTGTATTTTAATAAAAAAAATTATTTATAATAATTTTTAAATTTATATATATAATTACAATGCTAAATTAAAATTAAATTCGAAAGTCATTTTTATAAATAAATCTAATAATTAAACAAAATCCAATATATACAATATATCTAAGAAATCTAATAATTTTACTAGATAATATGTTACAATTCTAATTTTAAAATCTAACAATTTGCTTATAACAATCCTAACAAATAAATTTAAGAATTCTAATCTAGCATAATTTCTAACAAATAACAAAACTAATTTTTTCTTAAAATTCTAACAAAATCCAGAATAAATTCTACTTAAATTCTAACAAATTCTAACATAAAACAACCTAATTCACAAAACTAACAATTCCTATAATTCATCCTAAAATTCATCTTAACAATCCTCTAATTTTGTTTTGGATATTCAATCAATCAAACTAACAAACAATGAAAAAAACTTATAATTTTCAGGCTGATGAAGCAGATCTACGGCTATGAAAGCTTGGCGGGTCGACGGCGGCGGCGGTGGCTTCAGATCTGGCAGCGGTGGTGGTGGACTTCAGCCTGCAAAAATAAAAACCAAAAAGAGAAGCTGAGGAGAAGATAAGAAAGAAGAAAAGAAGGTGAGGAGATGCAAATCAATACCTGAGAGCTTGAGTAGCAGATCGGCGGCGAGAAGTTTCAGATCTGGGATGAATTCTGGCAGTGCCGAGCAGAAGAGCAAGAAGAAAAATGGAGAAGGAAGAAGAAGAATAGAAAGGGAGAAGAAGAATCGTGTGTAGTAAATAAAAAGAGGGGTGGTCCGTAATCGGTGGGGAATCATTAAGACTTCCGTCGGGATGCGGTCGGAAATAATTAAAAATTTTGGGAAATTTTACGCGGTTCGGTTTACGCGGTTTTATTTCGCGGGCAATTTTCGGAATCCGTCGGAAATCCGTCAGCACTCCTGACGGATTTCCGACGGACAATTAAAAAAACCTTATTTTTTCTTCACTCTCGCCATGTATATACATGTAAATTAAATTCTATACACTTAGAAAAATTTGGGAAATTCAAAAAGTCATACATCAATTTTTTTAAGATAAGATAATTTTTTTAAATCAACATAGTTATACATCAATTTTTGTAAATTATGATTTTGAAATCTACTAATAACAAACATATAAACATCATATATATATATATAATACATCAATATGTTCATATGGATCTATAATTCTTTATACACTTAGGAAAATTTGGGAAATTCACAAAGCCCGTCAGAAATCGGTTGGTAATTCCGACCGATTTCCGATGTACTATGATAATATGATGATTTTTTTTAAATAAAAAAATCATCATAGTAATACATTATACTTTGTAAATTAAAATTTTGAAATCTACTAATGACAAACATATAAAATATATCAAATTTTTGTTCAAATTTGGAACATTTATATATTACGTCGGAAATCGGTTGGAAATTTCCGACCGATATCTGACGGATTAATGATTAGGGCATAAAAAATTGCAAAAATTAATGAGATTAGTCTTTACAATAGATGATTAGATTCATATAACAACATTTCCCTTACAAATCAACATAAAACAAAAGTTATGATGAATTTTGAAATCTACTAATGAGCAACATATAACTTTCTTAAAGATATATAGAACTTAAGGTTATGTTTTAGGGTTTGATATATATTTTTGGTTAAATGATGAAAATAATCTAATTTTGAGATAAAATAACATATAACTCAATTATAATAGCTAATATCATCATAACAACCATAATTGTCAAAACAAAATTCAATTTCGATGTTTCTGAACCCTTATTCGTCGCATTTCCGTCGGAAATTCCTGACGGATTTCCCCGACCATTTTAAAAAACACATGTAAAAATCGATTTAAGCACGTGTTTTTATCATTTCCGACGGAAATCCGATAGAATATCTATCTAACTGTCAGAAATCCGTTGGAAATCTCCGACGGAATTCCGACGGATGATTGTTTAATGTTTAGGGTTTGGGAATTATTATTATTATTGTTAAAATAGTGATCATATTTATTATTAAAAATTATAAAAACATATAATCTCAATATATAATGATATAGTTCTATTTTTTCTTTTTGGTAAAATGGTGCAAAATTATATTTGACTAAAGAATGCATACATTAGTATTTTAAAATCTTGAAAACATAATAAAATTACATTTTTCATAATAATATAAATAGTATTACAAATTCATCGGAAGAATATTCTGAACTCTCGTCAAATTCGCCAATCTCTGACTCCAAAGTCAAAAGTTTAATTATTTTTATTATATCCGTCAGAAATCCGTCGGAAATATTATCAAAGTTTCGACGACTTTCCGACGGAGTTTCAAAATCGACAATTTAAAGATCCGTCGAAAATCTGTCGGAAATTTGATTAAATTTCTAACGGATTTCCGACGGAAATAATTTAAAAATAAATAAATTTTTGATTATTTTTATTACTTCCGTCGGAAAAATAATCAAATCTCCAACTATTTAAGTATCGGAAATTCCAACCGATTTCCGATGACATCTGAACCGTCGGTTATTTTAAATTTTTGGTCGGGATTCCATAGGAAATTTCCGACGGCAAAAAAACCGTCGGAAATACCGTCAGAAATCATGATGTTTTCTTGTAGTAGAATGACCATTTTCATCACGAATCTCCTCTCTCAACGTTGACCCTTAAAGAAACACTAATCTCTACTCCAAACTCGATCGAGTTTCCACTGCTTTGACTACCGCTCGAAACAAACACATTTTGATGGTTCACATGGTGTGTTTGTACTCAACGATCTTGCGTTGTGCACACCATGATTTGTTGGGTTACGACTTACGATCCGGATAAAACACTTATTCTCTTTGGCTATCAAAAAACATTTTATAAGCAATTTTGCATCTATATAGTCTAAAACAAAAAGTACTGCGAAAGTGCACATCATGTGTTCTTTTCACTGTTTGTAATTCAATGATAGCCCGAAAATGTCAGAGCAGAGCTTCTAACGTTTTGCATCATATTTCATTGAACTCAGTCCTTAATTTTGTGGTTACTTTTGCGCTATATTTCTTGTAAAACAAGCAAGTAGAAGGTGAAAGTTGGAGTCCCGTAAGACATTTTTTTTCAAGTTTAGTGATGTTCTTACCAGACTCAACAGTCTCTGAAACGGTCTTGAAGATCAAAGAGAAGATTGAGAAGTTCCGGTTTCCAAACAGACCCAATGTTAGGGAGTTTTGGAATTCGAATGCAAAAATTATTTTGTAGCCATAATTAAATGAAGTTGTGTAGCTACTTGTAAATCCATAAATAAAGATTGTTGCAGACCAAGCTAACTAGCCTTACTCTCCAGTAACCGCCTCATTACATTTCAAACCTTAAGCCTGCCCTACTCAATAGATGTATAATACCATCTTCCTGGATCGATGTAGAAACGTGTTGTTTCGCAATAGTCATATGCTCTTTATCAAACAAATGCTCAAGTCTCTGCAGTTTCTTCTTTCCTTATTTCTTTCAGTCTTTCCTGAAGTTTCTTGCTTTGTTCGAAATTGACCTTTCTCTTCACAGCTTTCTGCAAAATATTGTAAGATAGCTCTAAGACAATGCAACCAACCCCACAAAAAGAAAACTTCAAGCTGAAACGTACTTCTTTGGCTATTAGTAGTAACTAACCTCTTGGCGGAAACATCGATCAAGCTTTACTTTAAGCTCTGTACACTCTCCGAAGAATTTTCCAATCGGATGCTCTAAATGACACTTTTGGAATTCCTCAATTATCTGGAAAACATGTGACATACAGAAGAATTAGTAAAAACAACAAAAGAGAATCTCTTCTCTTGCCAAATGCAGTTATGTGGCTTAACTCCACTCATTTCTAATTGCATTGCAAGGTTTACAAAAGGTCCTGCTCTAGTAAACTAATAAAAAGATTGATACACAAAACTAACTAGGATCTTATTCTCAAAGAGGCAGTCACGCAGAGGTTACGACTAACACAGGTACAACGAAGTTAGATTTCAGAAACTAATAAATATAACTTAGGGAGAGAATAAATGACATAAACTCACCTCCAGACACATTGGATGTCTATGTGGAGTAAGTGGAGGATGCATCTTCACCTTCTGTAAGAAAAATAATAACACAAAATTCTGAATTTTTTTGAAAGCAATGGTAAAAATCAGATCTTTCACCTCTCTGCTAACAAAACCACAAGGAAATAACTGCAGAAGCGAGCAAGAAACCAATTTATAAAACTCTAATTTTGAAGCAAGAGAGAATTGATATTTGAAGCCAATACTATGATTGGTTTACTGAAAAATCAACCATTTTGCTTAAAACGATTCCCAATATAATCTGGAATTTCACGATTTTAGAAGATCAATTTCTCCAATTTAACAAAACAGGAGAGAACCACATGATTAAATTAACACATCGGTTTGATATCAAGGCGAGAACTTAATCGAAGAATAATCACGAAGAACGTAAAAAAGTGGTACCTTGATTTGGTATGTATCTCCTGATAGAGAGAATCCGAGCTCAGAAATCAGAATCACCGAAATGGGGGAAATGAGAGTCAATGAAAATTATGAGAATAGAAGCCGGGTCAACTTTTTCATATTAATGGGCCTCGTTATACTTTTTGGTTACTGGGCCTCATTATACTTTTCAGTTACTGGGCCTCATTATACTTTTCGGTTACTGGGCCTTATCCATTAGTCTACAACGCAACATTTCGTAATGTTTTGGATGATGAAAATCAGACATCAGAGGGAGCTTGGAGGACAGAGAGAAGCGCAAATATCAGAGAGAGAGAGAGAGAAGAAGAATTATCTTACCATTTTGCCTAACTGTGAAGAATCCACAGGTTAGTTGAACACTACGTGTTTTAATTCCGGAGAATTTCTGGTGGGTGATTTTCATATTTTGGAATTTCTGGGGTTTTCAACAGTGTCTATGAATTGTGTGCTGAAAAGGAAAAAGCTTTGAGATTTTGGGCTCTATGAATTGAATCCTCAGGATGCTTAGCTTGAGATATTCACTGCCTTATCTTCCTCAAACAAAGGAATCAACTAAGCTCTTCTCCAAGAGGCCTAACAATGTTGTGGTTCGTAGCTTTTTCCTTAATTCTGTTTTAAGGGTTATGTTCTTAATCTTCTTCATCAAACATCTCTCGTCGTCTAATTTAATAATCTTCAGGTTTGTGCGGCAAGAGGTCCAAGACCTCGACATCCTCGAGTATGGAAAACAAAGAAGAGAATTGGAAGTATCTCCAAGGCTGCCAAAATGCTTTCTTGTGTAAATCTCTCTTTTGACAACTTGAACATCTTCGTTTGTTTCTGCAATTTTTAGAGTCAATGATTAAAGATCCTTTTACTAATTGTTGATAACTGTGACTGAGCTGATGAATCTTGTTATCTGCAGATAAAAGAATTGTCGAATGTTAAAGAAGAAGTTTATGGAGCACTTGATTCTTTCATTGCCTGGGAATTAGAGTTCCCTCTTGTTATAGTCAAGAAGGCATTAGCTATTCTTGAAGATGAAAGAGAATGGAAGAAGATTATTCAGGTATATTTTTTATAAAGCAAGAAAAACTGTTTCATCGAGCGTCTTGTAACTTTTTAGTTGGGTGAATAAAGAAAAGGTTTTTGGAATTTCTTAGGTGACAAAATGGATGCTGAGCAAAGGCCAAGGAAGAACAATGGGAACTTACTTCTCATTACTTAATGCTCTAGCAGAAGATAACCGGCTTGACGAAGCTGAGGAATTGTGGAACAAATTGTTCATGGAACATTTAGAAGGAACTCCAAGAAAGTTCTTCAACAAAATGATCTCTATATATTACAAGAGAGATATGCACCACAAACTCTTCGAGGTATATTACTTAGTATTTGCAACCAGCAGAGAGATTCTTTCAGGCAAGTTGATGTTTAAAACTGTTGAAATAGTAATCCTTGTTTTTTTTTTTCAGGTGTTTGCTGACATGGAGGAGCTTGGAGTGAAACCGAACATTGCGATTGTGTCTATGGTTGGAAAAGTGTTTATGAAACTTGAGATGAAGGATAAGTACGAGAAGCTTATGAAGAAATATCCTCCACCACAGTGGGAGTTCAGATACATCAAAGGAAGACGCATTAAGGTCAAGGCAAAGCAGTTAAGCGAGCTAAGCGAAGGTGAAGGCGGGGTAAGCAGCGATGAAGATAAGACTGATAGTGAGATTGAGAGTAAATCTGAAATGTTTTCTGATGAGGAAGCAAACCAGGATGCTGAGGATCTCAGTGAAAATGAAGAAGACGAGAATGAACTTTTTAGTGGGAATCAAGGACAGATTGGAACTTCTAGAGAATTCTCTTTTGATCATTTGGACTCTACTTGACTTAGAATGTATGCTTCATGAGCTTTTGAGATCGTATCTTCAGTTGGATCATGTAAGGGAAAGAGATCGACGGCCAAAGTTCTCCAAAGAAGCTTTCTGGGACTGAGCTTTGGAGTTCTGACGAAAACATGACCAGAAAATTGTGAATTTTGTAAGGTTGAAGAACTTAGAAAAGTCAAAACAAGACATAAATTGAAGAGTCTACTTCTGTCAAAACCAGAAGAAAAGATTGCAAAACTCAGCAAAGAATGAAAAATGTAAAGTCTTTTGAGTATCACTGTGTAAGCTTTTAAGACAAAAAGTATTGTAATTCAGATCAAAGTTAACTCCTTTTTGATATTCAATCTTCATCTGATCCCGAGTCTTCAGAACTAGATCCCTTCTTGTTTACTTTCTTCTTCGATCCTCTCTTCTTCTTATCTTCCTCGTCCTCACTGTATTCACTTTCGTAATCCTCCTCTTCAACCTCATCTTCCTCTTCCTCCTCCATACCTTCTTCTGCAAACTCACCCTCCAAATCACGGGTCCTTTTCAAGACCTCAACTTTCAGTGATGTCTTTTGGTCACAACCAATCCAAGCATCGCTAAGGCAGAAGCAAGTCAAGTTATAAGTACCTTCTTCAGGTGCTAAGAGTTTTCCCATTACCAATCTTGACCCACTTTTAACCTTCTCAACAGCTTCTCTAACTGCATTGTTTTGAGCCTCCACGCTTGCTCCTAAACTTTCCATTGTCTCACTAATAGCATTCGATGCAGCTGTTACAGCTCCAGCTTCATCCATGAAACTAACCTTCTGAAAGAACCAGACGTTGTTTGAATCCGCAAGAAGAATCCAAAAGTTTTCCTCTTTGTGGAAAGGGAAGTAAGGCGAGTGAGGAACAGCGCCTATGAGTCCATTAGGACGTTTCAGAGTGATCCAAGCTTCAGCCGTCACAATGTCGCCTTCTTGAATTCCTTCTTCGCCTTCTGTTTTGCAAATGACTTCTATTTTCAGAGACGGTATCATTTCCAACACCTTTTCGACGTCTACAACATCGGTTTCTGACAAACCCGTCACTTCTCTGAGCAGTTTAGAACGCTCTTCCGAGCTCAGTTCTTGAAACTCTTGGAATGATTTAACTTGCAATGCTATCTTTTTAGCGATAGAGTCATTGACATGAGGGAGTTGCAAGAAAGGAGCAATGCCTTCTGAAGATGACTTCCTCGCACTAAGAGGAACAGCCTGCAATCAAAACAGCAACTTTACTTAACCTGAAAATTTGCAAATGTTTTGAGCAAAAGCAAAGTTGGAAAAATCTTAATACTTGAACAATGCATTGAGATAGCTCCATAACTCTGAGTGCAGGACTTAACCATCCACGTCCTTGTTCATTGTGAGGTATAACCGCCATCTGCATAAAACTCAAAATATCATTAAGTTTCGCGTTTAAGCACCTTTTCCGCTTCTTATGTGCAATGACTGATATAGAGTTTCAGGTAATCATCAACTTTGTAACAAGCTTTACTCTTATCAGATACAATGCAGAAAATAGAGAGTATATATATCAGACCTTCATTAAATCTTCAAGGAGACGCGGTGCAAACTCTAGAACACGCCTGAAATCCTGCTGCAGAGTCGGAGACAGAGCGGCTGATTCACGAGTTAACTGTTTCTGTATCAATAGCTCAGTCTGTTACAGAAAACAATAAGGCAGAAAAAAAAATTAGCTTTCTTTTCAAATTTAATTCGATACTTTATGTTGTAATGTGTTTAAGAAGAAAACAACCTTGATACTTGCAGGATGCTGTTTCCAAAACTTAGCTTCATCTTGTTTCATCTTCTTAGGATCTAGCTTTAGCTCGCTTTTGACAGAAGTAAAAAGGTTCTTCAAAGATTCATCATCTGATTTACGAACAGGAATCTCTGCGTATTCAGCTGCTTGGACGAAAACTTCCATAACTTTGCTCGGTGTTAAAGATGGTTGCAATGACTCGTAATATGCTTGACGAGTTTGAAGCTTAACGTAGTTCCCGGTATACTTTGATGATCTCCAGAGATAGATCGAGGCGATCACGAGCGGCAAGAGAATACATAAACCAACTGTACACAGCAACAATACCCCACCGGAATCTCCATCTATGCCTAAGATAAATTGAGGAAGAGCAATTCCCAGTTTATAACCCTGCATCAATCATATTTACACGGTTGTTGATTCATTTGAAGGAAACACACTATTATAATATGTAAACGTAAACAAACAATCATGGCCTATATTGTTATTACCTGTCTGCCATCAGGATGACCATACTTCTCAAAGTTTTCTCGGGATAACGGATCAGTTAAAGCTTGGTAAGCTTTAGCTATGGACTCCACAAAATATTTGTTGGCCTCTGTACAGTTAACAATACGGAAATGAGCAAATGATGGACATAGAACAGGATATATAATGAACTAAAAGGGAAGGATTATCGATGCATTTCCGACCTGGATCTGGATTTTTGTCAGGATGGTATTGAATAGAGAGCTTTCTATAAGCTTTCTTGATTGCTAAATCTGAAGCACCAGGTTCCAATCCAAGTATACTGAATGGCTCAAAGAGTTGATTCTGTAATAGTTCCCCAAGAAAATGCATCAAGCAAACGAATTTCGTAACCACAAGCAAGCTCGGATTAAGCATGAAGAGAAAGAGACTTACCTCACGGCTAATGTTCTTAGTGTAATAAATCAAGAAGATCATTACAAACCAGAGTAACACGACAGTCAAGTTGCTACATGAAGTGAAGTTAGAGATCTGCATAAGACAATAACTCAAACAAGTGAAAGAGGTTTATTGATTATTAATCTTCAACAATGTCAGTGGGTGAAAAAAAGAATAACCTTTTGAAAAATTGATCTCTTGTACTTCCCTGAACGCTCACACTCAAGACATTGACAATGTATGCTTCTTTGTTTCTTCGAGAAAGCGCGGCTTAGCTTCACGAATGTGTAAGGCACCAATGGAATCGCGATTATTGTCAGAATAAAAATGGGAAATAGCGCTCCATTCTCTTCTGGTTCTGCCATCTGGGACCCTTCTAGTTAAAAAAGAGCCCTTTAGATCAGAGATTCTGCAGGAAGAAAAAAAAACTCTATTTTCATAATCTGGTGACATCTAAGGAATAGAGACAGGGCCGACAAAAATTCATGTCCTGTAATCATATCCATGAAAAATTCTGGAAGAATTGGAATCACTCAACATATCATTTGCTTCCAATCTGCTGATGTTATAACCATTTTCTGTATTTTTCAACAAGATTATTGCTTTTAAAATTGATTATTAGCCATTGAGAATAGGTTTCTCGATCACAACTTGTGTTCTGTTTGTTTCACCACATTTTGTTTATACTGATCATTCAAAAGTCAAATTTGAGCTTAAAAATCTCATAAAGAAATATATAAAGGAGATCAAGAGTATACATGTGCGTAGCTCCCATATTTTTTGCTCTATATTATAAAGAATAACCGGAAAACGTACGGATGAAAGGAAAATTCAGAAAAGAAGCGGATTCGATTGCATGCCAGGAAAACTGTAATATGAAGAAAAAAAGCAACTAAGTAAGAAAAAAATACCTGAATTGAGTCTCGGTAACTGAGAAAGAAAGAAAGAAAAATGTTGACTTTAAAGTTTAAAATCGAATTGAGAAACTGAAGAAGACGAAGAAGAAGTGAGCCAGGTTTATCAATGGGGAAGAACCAGAAGAGGTGATGAATCAGCAACACCAATGAAAATGCGACACGTGACAATAATTATGAGACATTGTACGCAGCGTTTTTGACCACTGTTTAGGAAATTGAGTAATGACATTTGACTGTCTTAACTGTGTTATAAGACCAAGATCCAAAGGACAAATCTTTGTGAGTTTAACTTTGTGGTTGTGTTTGGGGATAGATCGTTTCGGAATCGTCTCTGTTTTTGCATGTCCAATGTTTTGGTAAGAAGAAACATCGCGTATAAAGTTTTGTCCTTTGTCACTCGCCAGTGAGTATTGTCTCTTGACCAACTTCCTTAAACCCTTTGAGAATGAAATTCTGGTTAAAAAGGAAAAAAAAAAGAACAGATTTTTCCCATTAGTGTTTTACAAAACCCCAGCAAATGTCAGAGTTAAGCAACTAAATGGTTCTTCTGCACAAAAGTTTTGGATTTTTCAAACGATTCTCGACCTCAGCGACTCCATCGACATCCTCTGCTTCCGATTGGAAAACCCAAGTGTCACTGTTCCGATTAGCCACCGAAATCTCTTCGATCCTCTTACAAAGACGCGACTGGATCACTCATCTCAAACATGTTAAATCCAAACTCCCCAGGTCAACACTTACACCACCTATATTCCTCCGGATCCTCCGCGAAACTCGAAAATCCCCTAAAACCACTCTTGATTTCTTCGATTGGGCCAAAACCCATCTCCGGTTCGAGCCGGATCTCAAATCCTGTTGTCGAGTAATCCAAGTTGCTACCGAAACAGGTCTCTTGGAACGAGCAGAAGCCTTCGTGCGTCCTCTGATTGAAACCCATTCCGTGTGTGTGATCGTTGGATCGATGCATCGGTGGTTTGAAGGTGAAGTTTCACTCTCTACTTCTCTAAGCTTAGTTCTTGAGTGTTATGCCTTGAAGGGTAGCTACCAAAACGGCTTGGAAGTGTTTGGTTCGATGAGAAGATTGAGACTTTCGCCTTCTCTTCGCGCTTATAACTCTCTTCTTGATTCTCTGGTTAAAGAGAAACAGTTTAGATTGGCTTTGTGTTTGTACAGTGCCATGGTTCGAAACCGGGTTGTCTCTGATGGGTTAACTTGGGATTTGGTAGCTCAGGTTTTGTGCGAGCAGGGAAAATTTAAGAGTGTTGTTAAGTTGATGGAAACAGGTGTTGAAAGCTGCAAGATTTACACCAATCTTGTGGAATGTTATAGCAGAAATGGGGAATTCGATGCGGTGTTTAGTGTAATACAGGAGATGGATGCCAAGAAACTGGAGCTAAGTTTCTGTTCGTACGGTTACGTATTGGATGATGCCTGTAGATTGGGAGATTCTGAATTGATCGATAAGGTTCTTGGTTTAATGGTAGAGAAAGAGTTTCTAACTTTAGATGATTCAACTGTGAATGATCAGATTATTGAAAGGCTCTGCGATATGGGGAAAACGTTTGCCTCTGAGATGCTTTTCCACAGAGCTTGTAATGGTGGAACAGTTCGGGATCGGACATACGGTTGTATGTTGAAATCGCTGTCTGTAATAGGGAGAACAAAAGAAGCTGTTGATGTATATCGATTGATTTGTCGGAAAGGTATTACGGTACTTGATGAGAGTTGTTATAAAGAATTTGCAAATGCTCTATGCAGAGATGATGATAATAGCTCAGAGGAAGAAGGTGAATTGCTTATAGATGTTATCAAACGCGGTTTTGTTCCTTGTACACTCAAGTTATCAGAAGTTTTAGCATCTCTGTGTCGGAAAAGAAGATGGAATCGCGCAGAGAAGCTTCTAGATTCGGTTATGGAAATGGAGGTCCATTTCGATTCCTTTTCATGCGGGTTATTGATGGAGCGTTATTGCAGAAGCGGGAAGTTAGAGAAAGCGATGGTGCTACATGAAAAGATAAAGAAGATGAAAGGAAGTTTGGATGTGAATGCTTATAACGCGGTTCTTGATCGGCTTATGATGAGGCAAAGAACTATGGTGGAAGAAGCGGTTCAAGTGTTCGAGTACATGAAAGAGATGAATACAGTGAACAGCAAGAGTTTTACAATCATGATTCATGGGTTGTGTCGTGTGAAGGAGATGAAGAAAGCTATGAAATCTCATGATGAGATGTTGAAATTGGGGTTGAAACCTGATTTAGTAACTTATAAGCGTCTTATCTCAGGTTTCAGATGAAACATTTTGATCAGATTTGAGTTTGTTTGTGTAGACAGCTTTGAAGATCTAAATGAATCAAAACATATGCATCCATCTGAGTTATACAACTGGTCTAATCTGTAAAAATAGCATTACAAACCAAAGAGAGTTTTCAAGAATAAAGTTTCAAAATTTCTCAAACAAGAACAAAGGGGGATAAAGTTAAAAAAAAACTTGAAATGAATGAATACAATAATAAGTTTTTTTTTCATATATATTTAGTGAGCCTATAATAGTTTGCTATTTTATTGGTCAAGAGGCAGCCACTCCACTTCTAGTTCTAATTCACCTGATTCAACATTCTGAAGCTTGATTTGAACCTCTTGTTTCACTTTCCCATCTGCAATGTTGATGATGCTATCCTCTATTAAGGCATTGTCGTGTGATTTCAGCCATTTTCCAATCTGCATATCTCCAAACATTTCAGGGTCCCCAAAAGCCATTGCAGATGTAATCAGAGGCTGGATATCAATCTCAGCTTCTCCCATTATGTCATCAGCAGAAAATGTGTCATAATCAAACACTTGCTGCAAATGCCAGAAAAACGCAAACAAACCCGTAAGGAAACACTTTTATTAAAGATTCATCAAAAGTGGAAACTGATTTGGATGTTTTAGTCTCAAGCTTTTACCAACTTCACTGAGCCATAGTTATGAGGGACAGAGAGCATGAGTTCCTCGTTCCAGACCGGGTTTAAGTTGCTCTTCATTACAGTTGATTGTACAGTCTGGTTATATGATGAAAAAAATCAGCAAATGAAATAACCATAACAATCACTAGAACAATTGTAAAAACATATAAAGATGAAACCTTTCAAGATTCAAAAGTATTCACTTAATTCACCTGTTGTCCTAGAGTCAACACAACATAGGGATCGCTTGTCATCATATCTCGGATGGCTAAATTGGTACCCTTTTTGAGAGTCACCTTCAACATTCCAATAAACTCAACCATGCCTTCAAGTTGCTGTCATTGTTTAAATTTTCAAAACCGAGATGATAAATTTTCAAAACCGAGATGAAATGTGTTAAACACCATGAATCACAAGACTGAGCAATGTCTAAGGAGTTCACTTTATTCGATTATAAAAAGAAGCTTTACCGGCTGTTGCGATGATGAGTTTGTGCGAAAGCTATCTATAATCTTTTTAGATAGGCTTGATGAAAGATATGCTGGATTCTTTGTACTAGAGCCTTTCACAGATGTGATCCGCAAGCTTGGTTTCAGAAACTCTTGGAGCTCATATTTTGACCTGAAAATTAGGATTTGTGAATATGAATATCCACTAATGCATTTACAATATTTGGTATAAAACACTATTTATGAGGTTCTAGCAACGTACCTGATAAACCTCATACGCTGGTCGTGACTAGCATCAGGTCCAGGCTTAGAGCTACCTTCAGGTATAAATGCCTCGTAAATTGAATTCGCAGAGGCATTTCCTCCAATTTCAATCATAGAATCCACTTCTTCATCGGACCATTCATCTAATGTCACAGATAAGACCTGGAAACACCCAATACCATCAATACAACTTGCAAAAGATTCTGTCAAGAAGTATTGGTGAAACAAAATGAATGTTAAGAGGAAACGTCTCTGCATTCCAAACATCATGTTAATTTTTCCAAAACAAGTATAACATCTCCACAGGAGCATTTCTAACTTCTAAACATCTTAGTGCAATCTAATGGAATTTTTGCACCAAAGAAAAACAAAACATAGACGGAGAAGCATAGATTCATCATCACCTTTGAGATATGAGTGCCAAGGCTTCTGTGCACACCGCAACATTTTAAGCAAATGAACACTCCGATATTTGCTGACCTGTAATAAGGCAATGAAGAAAAGTTTATATACAAAATAGTTAACAAACACAAAAATGCACAAGTAGGAAGTAAGATTGTAAGATCCACGGCAAGAAGACAAAAACATACAGAACCCCAAAATAATGGAATGAGAGACGGTTGATAAAATCACCAAAATTGCTGAACAGGCTTTGAAAGAAAAAGCTCAGCTTCTAAGGTTATATGACTTTAGGTGTCATATTGCAAACTGGTAGAGAAGCATCCAACAAACTACAGTACAACAGAAGATTAAAAACGCGTATCTGGAAACTTACGCCCATTTAGGATCTGGAGCGCCACAATCAGCGCAGACTCGGTTATCAGATTGATTTAAAAGATCCCTTATTCTCCTTTTACCTGTGAAGCAACAAAGGTGAATTGAGTCACAACAAATGAAGAATCCTATAAATCTCACACCACAAAATCAGATTTACCAGCCAGAAGTACAAACAAGATTAATATATGAACACACAAAAGAAACTCAACTTCCTTTGGAGAAATGAATAAGAAACTAAAAACAGCAATACCTGAGCCAGGCTTTCCTAGTCCGGCTGCAGAATGACTCATTGCTCTTCTAAAGAGCTAACAATCATCAAACACAATCCTGCACAGAACGAAGGAAACACCCATCAAAGAAAAATCTCAACTTTGAATGATTCTTAAGGAGATCAAAACTCTGCTTTGAAACTTTCAAAACCAGACAAGTTGGGAAAACCACGACCACATAATCACCAGAAAGGGATAAAGAAATGTAGATCATCCGTATCCATTCACGAACCAGATATTCAAAATAATTGATAGGAAAATAAATCCGATTTCTTTTTTTGGTTATGGCAAATATAAGAACGAAAATTTCGATCTTTAACCATTCCTGAAACCATTTCAACGACGAAATCACGAGCAGGGGAGAAAGTCGACTTACAAAGAATGAAAATTGAAATTAAAACTTGATGATGCAGAAAATCGATGAAGAAAGATGAGAAATTTACGCAAGGAATGAGAATATGTACGGAATTGGAACAAGGAGATATAGATTGGATTGAACGTTCTTACCAATGACAGGAGAGAGAGAGAGAGATTCTTACACAACTTTTCAGATGTAACAAATAATTATTATCTACAAATGACAACTACGTGCTTTCTTTTACTATTCTTTTTAATTTTATCATTGAAATGTAAAGTTTGCAACTTGTAACGGTGCCATGTTAAGGGTCAAATACCTAGTATATTTCCTTGTCGTTGACTCGTTTCTGGTTTCCTTTTATAAATAAAAGTCTATAATTATATGAGAGCGACCAAAAAAAAAACAAATTTGAGATTAGTTCAAGTTCGGTTTATTAGGTAGGAAAATTTTGTTTACCATTCAGACTAGAAGTTCAATTCTATAATAAAGTTTCAATTCAATTGGGGTTTTATGCACAGCCTTTTCAAATTTCTTTAATTTGGTTCCGAACTGAGCTTTACAACTAACACTGTCACTGCTACAGTTTAAATGATTACGAAACTCGTTTGAATTTGGTTCTGCAAATACGGTTCAACGGAAAAGGCAAGAAAAGAAAACTCTTGTTGATTAACTTTTAAGACTAAGCTATGAAATCCTTTGGAATTGTCTATCACCATAATCTATATAAGTAACTGCTACAAAACTGGAATAGAAAAACACAGCTCCAGGGAAACACAGAATCCAAAAAAAGATCCATCATAGCGATAACTTCTTCAAGCAGATTTCAACTTGTTCGATGCTGATGCGAGGTGAGAGAGTGTTCTATGTCCGACGAACAACAGAAACACTCCCAACAAAGAAAGATACTTGAGAGTCGTGAACAGATCAAGCTGTAGAATGCAAACAAAACAAAAGAAAATTATTATTTTTGATGCAATGGTCCTAATAATCTTAAAACAAGAACCGGTTTTGAAAACTTGCCTTCAACCAGAAGAGCACGTAGAGAAGCAGAACAGCTCCAATCCCGCCATGAAAAAGCAAAGCTGATGTTGCAGGTCCAACCGATGATGGGAAGCTCTTTATGTTCACTCCCAACCGCATAAGCTGAAACGGAATAAAGTTTATATGATTTGTGAAACAAATGAAATGATGTTTTTTTTTTTTTCTGGATTTACTTTTCTGAATCTATTTACAGGCGAAAGGAGACTGACCCCAATAAGGAAACCGATGAATGGGAGAACGATAAGACCCAAGAAAACTAGTGAAAGCTGTTTTGCTGGGAGCTTTTCAGGAACCCGAAAGATGTGTGATATTTCAGCCTTTGGTCCATATCTTGAGTAAGGGTCAGTGGACTGTAGAGGAGGTCGAGGCGCCTTCTCTGGACGTTCTGGTAGGTCCAGTTCGATGTGGCCAATATTACTCAATAAAGAGTTCTCCTGAAAACCAGAATTCACATTTGGCTTAAGTTTCGGAGAGTGAACTCAACTACACTAGGCTGAAAGAACAGTCTTTACCATAGAAGCATCTCCAATAGTTAGCTGAATCTCATATTTACCAGAGAGGTAGTAGAGCGTCTCAACCAATCCAAGAAAATCCTAAAAGAAAAAATAACATTAAATCATTAATATAGTATTAACGATGTCATAAGTTTCACCAAAATTGACCCTAGCAATAAGAGAATAGGTCAAAAGCAATTCAAAAATGTAATTTAAAAAACTTAACTATAACTATTTCAGACTTCTTTCCAGAAGTTTTCATGAGAAAGATATGCTCGACCTGTGACTCATGTTTCAGCTTGAGAAATGCCTGCATGGAAGTAAGCAAGTCAAGAAAGTGATCAGGGCAAACCTATTAATAAAGCGGACTCGGGAATGAACAAACCTGGTGTGGCTTAAAGACATGGCCAAGTGGACTAGTTAACTGGAACGACAGGCGTAGCTTTTGGAGGTGGTTTGCTGATAATGATACCGCCCCATCTTTAGTCAAATCTAGCCTAGAAAAGTTGCAAAAGAGAGCCAACAAACAAAATGATGATAAGCACAACAAGAAAGTTGAAAAAAAAATTTGTAAGCAACAAATGGTACTAACTACTAAGATACAGGTGTCATACTTTTTCTGAGATTCGACGCTCCCAACGTCACTGTCAAGTACAGCAATTTCTGCATTCTCAATGCTAATAGCTCCTGTGGCGGCTATAGGCACTTTTGTTTGAGCTTCGGTTATGTATACTTTTTCATGTGCCGAATCATCCAGCAAAATCTGAAGAAAACGAAGCTTATCAAGTTCTTAACCTACATTTAAATGAATTCTTTAAGTGTGATATATTAATAAGAGCAATACCTCAAATATAAATGTATACTTTCCGACATCAAAGTTCTTAGGAAAGGAGTCCAGGAAGTATGTTGCACTCTCAGCGTCAAACTTAAGCTCCTGTACCCCAAAAATGTCATGGAAACATGTAAATCGGTTTAACGCATAGAAAAGGGAACATTCACAATGCGAGCCCAAACAGTCAGAGAAGCTACATTATTTACCTGGTTGTTAATTACAGAAGAACCCTTTGATCCAGAACTTAGAGCTTGTACGAGCTTCACACCAAGAGCTGGTGCCTTAGAACCGAGTACAGTGCTAACTTTAACCTAGTTCCAAATATAGAGGATAAAATATTAAAATAATATACAAAAGTAAATGGAAGAAGGGTCAACTAGAATGGATCATTATCAAAGAGATGAGAGATCTCTAGAAAAAATATGCAATGCTATGAGACAGAGCAATCTCTAAACCAAATACCAGCTAAAACCAGAAAATCCAAAGTTTTGACTTTCCTTACGAAAAGTACCACACCCAGGACTCTGAAGAGAATGTATACAACCAAATGTAACATCTCAAACTATGCCTGTCACATCTTGATGCAAGTTTATGATGAAATACCTTCAGAGGCTCTTTCTTCGTCAATGAGATGACAGTAGATGGGAGAGACAAGATGAGTGGAACAGAGAACCTGAAATGATAGAGAAGGACCATAGAACATATTATTGTTCCCATAGAATGGTAAAGGTTAAGCGATAGCATAATAAACGAACAAGTGGTTGAAGTTTCGCTAGTGTTCAAATTTTTAAACTTCTACTCTTCTCTACTGATATCATTCCTTCAGCTCAAAATTCTAAAATAGAGGACATCAAGCCCTTCAGAACATTTTGACATGCAGGGAGAAACAGTTTTCCTCTAGCAAAAGCCACTATTAAAGCAGAATTAACAAAAAGTCCTTGTATCACTTAAGTCAATTCAACATTACTCAATTCTCGTCTAAGATGTGTACTGAAAAAAACCAAAGAGAAATTGCATAAAGGGGGCATGAAAGTAGCATTGCCTGTTGTCTTCCAAACAAGCTAGTGCATCTATTTGGTTGAAGAAGTCCTTGGCATCACCAGGAATTCCAACACCGAGAAAGAACTTAGCCAAACCAACTATCTTATCACCCGGAAGCTGCATGAGAGAATGGAAAGGTGAAGGTGAATTATCAACACATCTGACAGAATGCAGGATAAAAAGAAATGTGGTTATTACGTACCTTCAATCCTGTGGATTCTGAAGCTGAAAATAAAGTGAGCCCTCTAATTACTGATGCAGTTGTTGTGATCGGGCCTTGACTTCCATCGAAGTAAAATGTCCCATCGTCTAATAGAACAAAAAATAAATTAATCAACCATACAAATGCAAATCCAAACTGAAAAAACTTCGACGTGACTGAAGAAGATCTCATATGTATACACATAATATAGCAAGTAGTTTACTGCACATAATGTAGCAAGTAATTTACTGCATACCATATGTTTCGATACTGTCAAAAAGCTTCAGGATACCCGTCTTCAATGTCTGGATCTACAAGATGATAAACATGAATGATGATATCATCATATGACCATATGACCAAGTAATATCAACCAAACTACCAGATAAAATGGCAAAAACGCATAACCAGATAAAAATGTCAGGTAAACATGAATAATCTTCCCTGTAGCTACGCCTTGGAATTTAAAATGATCAAAATACAGTTTGTTTTTTAGCTACTCAGAGATTCCAGAACCAAAAGTAAACCAGCTCTAAAACCAAAAACTCGTAAATGTCTCATTAAAATATATTCTCAGGAAATTAGTAGTATAACGCACCAAAGATCTCACTTACCAATGATTGATCAATATCTGAAGGTGCTAATGAAATCACTCCAGCTAGCGTTTCCAAGGCTAAGCCTGAAGGAAAAAAAAATCTGATGTTTAGAAGGATGAGAAAAAAAAACAGAGCAAAAGAAGTGGACAAGTTGAAGCAAGAAAGGAAGGGATAACTAATCTAAAAGGTTCGTCACTAACGTTTAGCATCGTGAAATAGGAAAGGTTAATCCAATAAGTAATACTTACCAGCAGCAAAGGTGCTTGATTCCGGATTGTTGGAGCTGTAGCGCCATCTTCCATCACTCTGACTAAGGGTCTGATACAAATTCATTATATGAGCCAAATAATACTAAAAAAAAATCATCTAAGTAGCATGCAATATACTAACTGAATATCGGTAACATGTCAAAGCTATATAAACTTCTACCAAGGTCTATAATTGATAGTTCGTAAAGAGACTGTACTAAGTAACATCTGATATTTCAAAAAAAAAAAAAAAACTAGGTAAGCTAAACAAGTTCAAACCTTGATGGAACGGAAAACGGCTTCGGCATCTCCAAGACTTACATCAGTTCCAGAAAATTGCTCCTGCATTTATGGAAAGGTAAGGTCAAACCTGAAGCCAGCAAAAAAAAGCAGGAGAACAAAGCTAATGGAATGAAATCAGATTATCACGATCAGAGGTACATTCTGCAAAAAAATTCTCATACTTTCAATTCTCACGAAAAGTAAGAAAACTCTCTCAGTAGTACTTTATGGAAAAAAGAGAAAGCAATTCCACTCAAGACGTCCATCCAAAAGTCTAATTCGCATTACCTTAACAAGCACCAAGCCTCTGACAGAATAGTAGAAGTCAAGCAATGACTTGGCATCTTTAACAACAGCTTGAAGTGTAGAAACAATGTCCTTCAAAAGAGGAAAAGAAAGAACAGATAAACTCACTCTATCCTCTTACAGGTAAAAGACCTTTGCATTACTGAGAGGAGACAATTGCTTACCTTGGGAGCATCTTCTCCAGTTTTGCATTTTAGAATTCCATTAACGTTTAACGCATAGAATGCATCCTTCAGAGTAGAAGAAGGCGATCCAAGAACTTTAACTACGTTTTCACAAGTCGCTGAGCTTAGATCAGACTTTTTATCAACTCCAAGAATCTCCAAAGTCTTTAACGCTTCATATGCCTCCTCCAAGCTGATCATAACAAAACCGCAAATTTAAATGGGTCCGTAAAAAAATCGTATACTAAACAAACAAACCCTGAGCTCTAACGAGCAACGAAGACGTAATCAGTAAAATGTGGTAATACAACATAGCTTGAGACAATGTTACAATATGTAACAAAACGAAATCAAATTGTGGTTTTTTAAGAGAAACCAACCTTTTGTAGGATCCATCGACTGGTACGAAGACATCTAGAGCCGCAGATCGGTGAGAGTCTGAAATCGGCTGAAAAACCGAAGCAGCACCGCAAATTGCTACGGCGAGTATTAAAACTATAAATCGTACAAGACCTCCGGCCATCATTACTGCATCAGAACAAATCAAAATCTAAACAATCACGCATCTACGACGGAAAGATCGTCGATAAAACTACCGAAGACAAAGAAGCTTAAGCTTTGTACAGATCGGAAGTAGATACGTACAGGGAAATGAAGTGGATCAGAAGCCGGCGAGTCTCAGTAGTCAACGGAGACTGTGGTTTGATGGAGCGTTGGATCGATCTAATGGCTTTGGAGAAGAAGATGAACCAGAAAGGCTAAAAAATGAGTGTAGTGTTTGATGACAGTAGCTGATATGACCGATCTACCCTCACTTTATAACTTAATTTACACTCCATTCACAATGTGAGTATTCTTGCGAAACGACGACGTATGATGAAACCCTAAACCCCTCCGAATACATTTCTCAACCACCATTTTCATTCAAACGGAGAGGACTTGTGGAAACCGGAATCTCAGCATGATCCGATTCGCGAGATCAAAATCAACAATCGACTCACTGACCTACGATCTTGTCCAGAGATGCTACGCTAGTGGAACCCCCAAGGGAAAGTCGAAGCTGAAGACAAACCAAGCGTTGAAGCGAAACAAAATCACCACCAAAAAAGGCGGTGGTGGCGGCGGCGGAGGAGGTGGAGGTGGGGAGGAAGCGGTGAAGGGAAAAGGAAGAATCTCCGATGAGAAGCAGAAGCTATACGATCAATGCCTAAACGCTCCTTGCCCTGTTCGTTACCTGAGGCCCAAGGAGATCGAGCGAGAAGCGAAGCGAGAGAAGCTAGGGCTAATCAGCAAGGAGAGGCAGCGAGAGATCGAGATCCAGAAAAAAGGAGGACCTTTCACGATGGAAGTCACCGAGGAGCCGATGAGGATCGGGACTCCAGGATTGGATTACATTTCGTTAGGGATTTTCACGGAAGACGAGTTACCCAAGTACAAGGTCACGGTGGAGGACGGGAAGAGACTCGCCAAGGAGTACAGTAGAGTGCTTATGAGAGAGCACAGAGCGAGACGTGTTGCTGAGAGTAATCTGTTGAAGCTGAAGAAAGCGGCGATAGAGGCGTTGCCGGAGAATCTGAAGAAGGCAGCTTTAGAGCCTGATTTGACTCCGTTTCCGGCGAATCGTGGAATGGCTACTCTTACACCTCCTATTGAAGGGTATCTCGAGAGGATTATGAATGCAGCTAAGAAGAGCTCAAGTAAAGAGAAGTTGAGATGATCATTAAGAGGTTAGAGATTTTGTGTTTTGGATGAGATGAGTTTTGTCAATTGGGTTCTGATCAAATCTGATATAAAGATGGTCATAGTGCTTACCACTCTATAGTAGAACACTTGTTGAAGCTTAAAAGTTTAAATTTTTTTTTTTAACTTTCTTCTGTTTGAGATTGAGTAACTTCATATCAGCATTCTGAGTAGTGAAGTTGTTTAGGCTGAAAGTCACTGGTAATAACAATTGGAATTATCCTCTAATTGGAGGCTAACTCTTTTGTATCTCTCTTCCTTGATCTTGTTTGTACATTCATATTCCTTCTTTTAAATCTTCATTGTGTATTCTATGTATATACAGAGTACACCTTGGTCTCTCGCCTCATTTGATCTCTTGGGTTTGTGCACATATAGGATGTCTCTTCATTTCTACTGACTTTTGTTTGGCCACTGGGTAAAGTAATCAAATTGAAAAGTTAGAAGTGATCTTGTAACCTTTCATCCTTGCCAAGTCCTAGACAGTAAGTAGCAATATAAAAAACTCCAGAGTAACATGGAATGTACTCAAAGATTATACTTGTTAATACATATGGGAATTGGGTTTGTGCTTTGTGAGCTTAGTGTTGGATGTACTAATTGTATTATGAGAAATGTATAACAGAAGTTGTGCAGATTGTATATGCTTTAGCAATAAAACAAGATTTAACACACTTAATAGATCCCTAAGCAGCAAGAATGTATTCGTAGTAACTCTGTACAACCTAAGATCATCAAAACTTGAATCAATGGGATGGCCTTTCTTAGTTAATTTTTGGTGTAAAGTATTTTATTTTTACATTATTTTAGTTTTGCACAAAGAAATTTAAAGCTAGCTATAAACCACGAATATTTTAAACCAGTCCTAAATTATCGTGTTTGAAGCAAACGTGAAAATAAACTATTAACAATTTAACATACTGCAAAGCTCTAAACAAACCATAAGATCTTACAAACTTGTGAAAAACGCAATGAAAAACCCTAAAACCAAGAAGAAGAATCCAACAACTAATAAATCGAAAGCCTAAGCCAATCTTGTGTAACATTTATTTAAAACCAGCTAGTGATCTAAAGCCGTAGCACCAGGGTTATCTGCAACAACACTACCTTCCTCAGCTTTCTGCAACGTCATCTTCTCCTTCAACGTAGCCTTAGCTGTATCATACGTTGCGTGCAACCCAAAAAAGAAGTAGTAAACAAGAAGAACACCTGTCCACATCGCAAACCTAATGAACGATTTCTCATCGATCGAACCAAGAAGAAAGATATTAATAGCGATCGAGGCAGAAGGCAAGAACGGAACCAAAGGAACACCCCAAAGTTTCGGAGCCCTAGCTTGCGGTACAAGGAACTTCATCCCAAGGGTAGACAAAACCCAAATAGGAACCGTAACGCAATATCCAATCCAACCGTCTTTTTCCACGGCCCAATACACAGCAGTCGCGATCGAGGACGCAAGAATCAAACCTAAAAACACCAAGAACTTGTTCCGGTCACGGGTCGTTGTTTCTCCGGCGACGTAATATCTCCTGACGAGAAGAGCCACCGCGACGAGCATGAAGATGAAAAGCGTGGAAACCGACAACAGATCGGCTAAGATTCCTAGTTTTGTGAAGAACGCGATGACAGCTGTCGCGGTGAGCATTACCACAGTTGCGTTAATTGGTGTTCCGGTCTTTGCGTTGACATGAGCTAGCCATGGAGGCATCATGTGTGCTCGGGCTATGTGCGTCATGTACCTAGCTTGACCTATGGCTCCAACTAACAAAACTGTCGTCATACCTGCTCATTTCAAACATTTGTTTAAGTTTGACGCACGAAAAAAAAAGAGAAATAACCAACTAACAAAATTAATAAATGTTATTTTTGACTGAAAACCAAACTTGAACCGTAGCAAAAAAAAAAAAATGTAAATACATAAATTCGGATTGAAAACTTGCGTCTAAATTAACAAAAAAAAAAATTATATACTGTATCTAGCAGAATTTTTGTGTTTTCATTGATACGAAAAAATAAAAATATTAAAAAAAAAATTTTAAAAAAAACCCATTTGCAAATCTTACATTTTTGTTTTGTTATGGCAAATGGCAAATGGCAAATGGCAAATCTTACCTTTAACAAGAGTTTTTGGTTTGAAATGCTTAACGTTGTGAATGTCATTAAAGAGAAAAATGTAAAGATAAACGCAAACGCAAATAAATAATGAAGGAGAAAATCGTTGTCATACCTTTAAGAGCACCAAACGCGACAAGGTACTTAGCCCAATTCCATCCAACCGCAGAGAACGCGACTGAAAACGGCGCGTCCGGATCAATCTGACCATACGGTTGCATAAGACACAAAGCAACCGCCATGAGACAATAACAAACGGTAGTAACAACCATTGATCCAACAAGACCAATCGGAATATTCTTCCCCGGATTCTTTGTCTCCTCCGCCATCGTTGAAACCGCATCAAATCCGATATAAGCAAAGAAAAGAACCGCAGCGGATTTAAACACTCCTCTAGCACCAAAAGGAGCGAAATCGGAATAGTTTTTGATATCAGCTTTGGTGAATCCGGCGATAACTACGAACAGAATCACTACCATATGGACTATAGAAGCGATGTAGTTGAAGATTGATGAGCCTTTTGTGCCAAGAACTGTTATGATGCAAATGGCCACGCAAACGCCGACGGCGATAGGGTCTAAGTGGCTATAGTCTTCGCTGAGGCTGTGTGCTATTATGCGGAAGTCGTCAGGTTTATGGTTTAGGAGAGTGGCGAAGTAAGAGGTCCATGATCGAGCCACGGCTGCTCCGCCGACTATGTATTCTAAGATTATGTTTCCGGCGGCGATGAATGCCATGAAGTCGCCGAGCTCCACTCTCATGTAGGCGAAAGAACCGCCTAAACACATTGGTAAGAATGGTCAGATATATTAAATATTAGTAATAGTTTTCACCAAAAACATATTATGAACACTTCAAATTTATAAATTCCGTTCTTGACTTTTTACTCATGACACCAACTTAATCGTAGAAATTACGTTCGAATTAACTGAAGCTAATATAATGGTAATTATAAAAAAGTATGAAGATGGTCTTCAACAGTGGTTTGCCACAACCCACACGGATGATTTACACCAGCGAAAAGATATATGTATTAATTTATAAGCCTTTGAAGTAGGATCAAACTTTAAAACTTGGAAACATTTCTTTGTAAAAGAGTGTTTTTTGATGAATAAATTTTACATTCTTAAAAAAAAAATAGTAGTTATAAAAATTGGTTTAAAATATATTTAATCTACTTTCTTGGATCAAACTTAATCCTCTACAAAAAAATAGAATTAATATTTTCTTCTAAGAAAAACAGGATAATATACTTTTTCAAGAAATCGTAAATTAAAGGGCACATTTTTTTTGTTTTATTGAAGTCAGTAGAGTTGTACAAACTTGGATTCCTATAAGGGTCATTAATGACATAAGTAAACAATTCGTTATTGGCTTTCCTTTGAAATTCCTTTTTCAAAAAAACAAATAACAAAAAATAGATGGCTGCAGGTAACGCCTTTCAAGTAGACGATAGACCTCAAAAAATATAATATTAAATATTTTCAAGAATTTGTTATTTGTGATTTGTTTTTTGACAATTCAGTAGCTAAATATCATAATTCGAGTAATAAATAGTGTGTACGGTTCAGCCTCAGAAGTCAACTAGTTGGCCGGAGGTTCCGTCTCGCCAAAACCGAGGGATAATATTTTCAATATATTAGTATTCTTGTTATATAACTTGTATGATTATAGCTAGCATGATCTCGTCACAAACCGTTAACCTAAATAAATAAATAATTGCAGTAACAGTCTAACAGAGGTCAGGAAAAACAATGTACATAAATAACTAAAATGTTATGCATATAAAGTATCGATGAGCATAGTGTATGGTTGACTCGATCTACGTATCACTGTATGTTTATCGGTCGTTGTATGAAGTTGAAGTTAGTAACCGATATAAAAACGAATCTTTCAAGTTTAAAAAACGTCTCTTTCGTTATGACCACTAGGGACTCCCACTACATGGGAGTATTGGACAAACTTAAAAACGCGTTTCTTTCGTTATAATTACTTACTAGCTGTCTAGAGGCAATCTTAATTTACAAAACCAGAAAACCTCATTTATAAAAAAAGAAGAGTAACAACAACAACTTATCGAGAAGAGTAACCAAAATATTATTTTGGAAATAAATGGAATCAAGTAAATTTTAGTAAGTTTTTCCAATCAAGGATTTTTAGTAATTTTTACCGACGTTGTTATCACAAATGGTACGTCTGAATAATTCAAAGATCTTGATATATACGCAAATCCCAATAACAAAGGATACTACTGTTGGCCGAATATTTCCAGAGAAATATCCGGAAAGTTTGCCTTTAGCAAAAATAAAAATAAATATCCGGAAATATGCCATTCCGTTTGGAGAAAAGTCGTAAGCTGATTATTAACATCTTTCGACATAAAGATATATAAAAAAAAAAAATTGGAGAAAAATTTCGAGTAATCCTCATTTCTTTTTGTATTGAAGATACAAAAACATAGATCTGTTGGTATGCATTTTGGTTCAAAAAAGAAACGAAATTTATAATCTCTTAAAATGTAATTTTCTTTTCGTAATTCTATATATGATGCAGAAAAACAACTATTCAGAAAATTTTAACAAAAATAAAATATAATTCAGAAAACAGAGCAAGTGAGATTTTTGTTACCTGCGACGGGAATCTCGACGGCGAACTCAGTGTAACAAAAGACGGAGAGCATAGCGGAGACACCGGAGATGACGTAAGACAACACGACGGCAGGACCGGAATGCTCACGTGCTTCGAGTCCAGTGAGAACGAATATACCGGAGCCGATTACTGCACCGACTCCAAACCACATCAGATCCCACCACGTCAGCGTCTTCTTCATCTCGTTACCACTACGCGCCTTCATCTCGTGAATCTCCACCGAGTCGAGTGACCGAGTCGTAACACGATCCATGAACCGACTCGGCGTCTCTTTAAGGGCTTTTAAGTAACTCCCCATGCTCTTGAACGATTCCTCCGGTAGAAAATCGTCTTTTGTGCATGAACATCCTCTCCGACGAAGCCCGTCGTCACCGTGTTCCGATCCCATTTTCTGGTTCCGACGGAATAAAAATATTCGATTTAGATTCTGATTCAGATTCTGTGATGGGTTTTATATAGGGAGTTTTTGAAGTGAATGGAGAAAAGAACTTGGGAAAATACAGAGAGAGAGAGATGAAACTGAAAACCATTAAATCTCAAATGTAAACAGAATTTTTGTGACATTGTTTCTGTAATTAACTATATCAATTATTTTGCGTAATTAGCTGGAAATACGAAACAGAAATTGAATATGGAAACCTGATAAATTAGTGGTCACTTGGTCAATAGCTGCATTCTTTGACCTTCTTAAATAAACAAAATCGAGTTATAACAAAAAAAAATAAAAATTAAATCATGGGCAGAAAATTATCAAACAGAATTGTTTCCATCTCACGTACACAAACATACTTCACGTGGAAATATTAAAAGAATTAAATAGTGTTCGTTTGAGTGAAATGTTATATTTCTTATACGAAATTATTATAAAATTATTACGTTTTGCTTAGTTTTTTACTTTGATGATATTGATTGGTATTACTTTAAATTTGACCCAGTTAGGTTCAAATTTCACACCAACCACTTCACCGCAAATGCTCCTTCTTTTACGTGCATCAGGTAAATGATCGACCTCACCTATATATTTCAAGATTTGTTAGTTTGTAATTATCTACTTCCTCCGTTTTATATTAAACGATGTCCAAGAACCGTGACCACTCGTCTAGGTGTCTTTTGTACATCAAATAAACCATTAAAATAAAAGGCAAATGAAAAAAACCAGTTTCAGCGAAAGAGAGTATAACAGTGAAAATGGATTCTTAATTCAAAGAACCGGTTTAGTCTAACTGAAAATTAGAAATATTATAGTCGGTTAGTTGATTCGGTTTAATCCATAATTGATCCGGTTCTAGTCAATAATATGATCCAACAGCTTCCATAACACCAAGGTATTAAACAGAGTAAAATTGGGGAAAAAATGAAATTTCATTTACTCATGAGACATGAGCAGATTTTGTTTTTTTCCAAGGAAAATGTTAAAATAAAAACTAACAGAAGAAGACACAACACACTACCCTTAAATCAAGAACAGAAGGAGAAACACTAAGAAAACCAAACTCCATTGGAACCTACGAAAAAAAAAAAAAAAAAAAAGAACCATTGCTCCTAAATTGAAGAAAGATCTTCATAAATGGTCTTGATACCAGGTCTCTCAGATACAGATCTTATGCACTTCAAGGCAATCCCAAGAACTTCTTTTGTGCCTTTCTCTGTAACTGGATCACTTCCCATCTCCTGAGTCAACACCGAGTCAAAACATTCCGCACCATGACCTTCTGCAACACGTAACCTAACCCAATCGGTTAGATCAACACCTTCTTGTTCACCTGTGATCACATCTCCTGCACATCTTCCGGTCAAGATCTCAAGAAGTATCACACCAAATGCATAGACATCTGATTTGAAAGAAGGCAATGGTTTCCTTGAAGCTGCTAGCTCGGGAGCTCGGTAACCGAGGATGCCTGCGTCTAGAATCTGTTCGACTGTGCCTGCTTGTGTCATGAGACGGTGGAGGCAGTAATCTGCTACACGTGCGTTTAGCTCTGCTCCGTCTAAGAGAATGTTTGTTGCTTTGAGGTTACCGTGTGGAACAGCTCTGTCAAAATGGAGATAGTTTAGACCACGTGCGACATCAACTGCGATTTTCAACCGTTGGATCCAGGCTAAGGGAGGGCCTTTCCTGCCTGGTCGATCTGCGATCAAACAAAAACCGTAAGCTTGATGATAATAGCAAAGATAAGTAACACTTAAGAGAAGTTTACTAAGAAGAGTGTTACCGTAAAGGAAGCTAGCTAGGCTTCCAGGCGATATATAATCTGAAAGAATAAGCTTTTCATGTTGCGTGGGACCCCAGTAGTATCCTCGGAGAGTGACAACATTAGGATGTCTAATGTTAGCAAATTTCTTCACTTCTTTAGCAAACTCCTTTCTTTGCTTTGCCACGCCTTCTCTTAGCCATTTCACGGTTAAAAATATTCCATTATCAAGCGTTGCCCTGTAAGAAGTCCCATGGCTACTTCTTCCCAGAACTTCAGCTGGTGCCCTCGACAATTCTTCTGGTGTTAATCTGATTGAATCATCCAGAAATTGCAGCTCTCCCACAAGTCTATCCGGTGATCTAACATCAAGTCGTGCTAGTTGCTGATCAGGTGGGAATGAATCTCCTGAGCCAGGTGACCAAGATAAATTACTTGTCTTGGAAGGAGAGAAGCCGGTTGCAACAGCTAGTTTCTCATCTGGACTGAGGATTTCAGATGAAGAGCCTTTTCTTGAAGCAACCAAATCCTCAGCGGAGACAACCATACCACCTCCACTGCCTGAAGGGATTGTCTGAGCCTGCCTAGTAATTTCTTTACCTGTGATACTACGCTCTTCACGTCTTCTAGATTTACAGATACAAAATAGGATGATAGCCACAAGGATGAGAATAATTAGAGCAATGGCGCAGGAAACTATTATGACAATCTTAATAAGTAAGTTTTTGGGTTTCCTTTTGGATACTTCTGATGCGCTTGAACCAGGGGATCCAGCAGGCAAGAGAAGCTTGCTGTTTCCAGGATAAAAAGAAGGCGGAGGGAAGTTCCTCAGATTCTCTGGCACAGTCCCGGATAGATCATTGTATGACACATTAAAAGCCATAATGCTGCTAGATAGGTTGCTTGGGAGTGGTCCGGTGAAATAGTTCTGGGACACGTCTAATGAGCTTAGAGAGACCAAGTCATTCATGGAGTTGGGCAAAGATCCAAACAAATTATTTGCTGCGAGATTCAGCACTTGAAGATTGGTCAAAGATCCGAATACACCAGGAAGATCACCGTCAAACCGGTTATGGGAAAGATCAAGAAGACGGATTCTGGAACCAGAAGAAGGCAAGGGTCCGATGTTACCTGTCATACCATTGTTTTGAAGGTGGATTTCTTCCAAAGTTGACATGGATAGTAATGCACTTGGGATTGGCCCTTCTAAGCTATTAGAACTTATATCAAGAACACGAAGTTTCGGATAATGGGTAGGTATCCGTTCTGGAAGTGAGCCTGTGAGCTTATTGTAGGAAAGGTTAAGATGATTTGCTCGCAGAAGCTGAGGAGTTACATCTGGGAACGACCCAGTGAAATGGTTCTGACTGAGATCAAGGTACTCGATATTCTCCCATTTTGACCATCTTGTTAGATTGCCTTCAAACTGGTTGTTTGAGAGATCAAGTAAGACACAGCTCCCAGTCAAGAGAGGGAGCTCTCCGGTCAGTGAATTTGAAGAAAGATCAAGGCTGTGAAGAGTTGTTGACATAATGGCACTTATTGGCCCTTGAACACAAACAGAAAACAGATTAAAAAATTAGATTTTTGCTGTCATTGGCACCACAATTAGCATGTAAAAATTCCCACTATGTAGAAGATAAAGTGAAGTGCATACCTGAGAGATTGTTGCCACTCAAATCCAGCGTTGTTAAAAGCAAGGAGTCACCTTTTAACAAATTATTAGGAAGAGAACCTGAAAACCTATTGTTGTTGAGCTTGAGCACTTGAAGATCATAAACATAATTGAAACCTGGCAATTCTCCAGATAATTGGTTGTAACTAAGATCCAAGACTTTTAAGTTCTGAAACAACTGAAGCCCACTGGTCAATGAACCTTCAAGCTGATTGTGACTGAGATTTAAGTGCTTGATGCTCTCAGAAATACCCGGTAACAGCTTCCCAGACGTTGTCACCAATCTGTTTCCACTGAAATCAACATAGCTTGCATTTGTTAAAAGGAAAAATTCCCCATCAAGATTACCATCAATTGAGTTACCATGCAGATCAAGCACTTGAAGACTTGAAATTAACTCAAAGCCCCTTGGAAATTTCCCGATAAATCCATTAGAAGAAAGATTCAAGTACAGCAGATTGTTCAGCCTTGTCAAGGACTTTGGCAAAAGTCCAGATAAGGAGTTGCGACTTATGTCCAACGACTGTAGCGAAATCAATCTACCCATAGATTCCGGAATTTCACCAGAGAAGTTGTTACCAGCTAAAGAGAGATTCTTCAAGCTTATTGATCTACCAATCTCTTCAGGCAGTGACGAAGAGAAGAGGTTATCAGATAAATCCAGGAATTGGAGACTTTTGAAATTACCTAAATTATTTGGTAAGACACCAGAAATGGAGTTGTTAGCCATAGATAGTTTGACAAGCATTGTCAAGTTGGAGAACATACTGAAATCAGCATCTGCAGACAACCCCAAATTGTCCAAAACAACACCAGCCACATTACCGCCATTGCAGACAATACCATTCCATGAAGAAGGGCAACCATTGAAATCAATGGACTCATCGTTCCATGAATTGAGAACAAACCCCGTAGGATCATGTTTGATCCCTTTCTTGAATTCAAGCAATGCCATGATGTCTTGTGATGGAAGTTGCCCCATTGCAGAGAGGAATAACATGGATAGTAATAAAACCCTTGATAGATTCATCCTTGACTTCAAAAAAAAATTCCCACAAAGCTACGGTTTTTGCAGAAACCCAACAACCTTTCCAGCTTACCAACGCACAACATTCATGGAACCCAAGTAAATCTGACAAAAAAAAAAATTATGAACCAAAGTTAAGACCTATCAAAATTACAAAAAAAAAAATGTTCCAATCTTTCCCAAAAAATACCAATACACAGAAGGAACAACAATTATAGGACTTGAAAGAAATCTCACTTTATGAAAAAAAAACAATCAAACAAAATGCAGGGCTCTACTGAGTGAGAAGACAATCTTGAGCCAAAAAGAATCAGCTGGAAAAACATTAAATGAACAATGGGCTATTCAATATCGGATCCCATTCCAAGATCTAACCAAAACCCCAAAGTAAAGAGATAAAAGAAAAAAAGGAAGGATTTTTATCTTATGGGCATGAAAAATTAGAGACCTTCACTGCAATAACAATGCCGACACAGTTAAAGAAGAAGGAAGACAAAAACTTTGAAGCAGAATCATTTTGTTCATTGGCTCATGCACTGCTACGGAGTTTTGAAACCATGTAGACTGTAGACTGAGCCACTGAAATAAATCTTTGTGGGTCACTTACTCACTATAAAGGAGGTGAATGATAAAAGACTTCATGAGAAATAAATAATAGTTTAATTTACTTTTTCTATAGTCTTTATACGTGTTCGAAAAAACTCCCGCCGGCCGACAAGGCGCGGATCAGAGGCCTACCATTGTGATTTTAGGCTAAGCGGTCAGCTTAGACGGTAACCGATTTTCTTCCGATAAGCGATTTTTTTAAAAATCGTTGATGTTATTAAAAGTCGGAGACCTATTGATATTATCCGGGCCCAATATCAGGCCCAAAAGCGTTCAGAATTTGCTATGAACCCGTAGTATTGATGACTGTGATTCAATTGATTAAAAGATGAAGACTCTTATTTATTGTGCAGCCTCCCCTTCTCATTTTTCCAAGTTTGTCGATGTGGGACGACTCAAAAGACCTATGTTTTTAAAAAAATGTCATGGGTTTTATGATTTGAGTTAAATATGGATCTCAATCCACCAATAAAATAAACCATTAAAATAAAACTAACAATTAACCAAAATGACAATTTACAAGATCATGAGTCCTGCGTGTTTTATATGAATGGAAAGACTAACGTCTCTATGTTTTCAACTTTCTAATATTATGCTGAAACAAGAGCTTAAGTTAATCGAATCGAAACTGCAACTGGATTTGGGAGATGAAGCCAATGAACAATGCATATATTTATGCTTGAAACCAAAGTTTAGGAAATAAGAAAACCAATCTTCGTTTTTTTCTACTAGCAAAAAAATAAAGAATAACATGTATATCTTTTATTGTTATGTGAGGAAAAAAAAAACTAACATGGTTAATTTTTTGTGGACAAGCTAACATGGTTTTGTTACAGCTTTGAGAGCCGATAAGATTTGATTATATATATTTGAACACTTTTTAATGGGAAAACCATTACAATATATATATGTTTACTAGTTACACATTTCTTAATTTAGGGTACACATGCGTATTTATGGTGAACAGAATAAAAAGACCAGATACATGTGTATACGAAAAGATACTAATCCTTATAAGACCAAGAGGAATCTTGATCCACATATGACAGTATTGACTGAAGTCAGTCAACTGTAGGGACCAATAGAAATTGACGTCGAATCACTTTCCATGGATCAACAAAATTTATCCACGAGACTAATTTATTCATTGCTGAGCTTTAATAACAATACTTAAAAAGTATCACTCACCGTCAACAGTAAGTCAAGTCTCACAATTTTAGCCTATCAATCTCACTCATTTTTGAACAGACACTTGGGATTGTGAAGGAAGCTGTGAGATTAATCGCCACTCGCGCATCCTTGACAACCGCAATGAACGCATTCAACCGCTTTCTCTTCACGCAGGTTTTTGGGAACACGACATACACATGTTGTTCCATAGTTGTGGTCTCTTGGCTGTATGCAGCGCAAGCAGCATAAACGTTCATATCCTGACTGCAATAATTCCACAAAACAGAGAGTTTATACAGAGCTTAGTGACAAATAAAGAGACAATAGATATCTGACAAAATCATTGTTCACTGAATAAAAAAAAACAAAAGTAAAATTTAGTTCAATGTCTGGATAATAGAACCTATGAACAGTATATGCATCCGAATTGAAGGCAATGACTTTGTTAACTTTGTTAACATAAGATTGAAAAGAAACCATCATCAAAAATACTTCACTGAAACGAAACCATCAAACAGAGACAACATCACTTAAGAAGCATTTTTTTGTTCAAAGTATAATGATAATCACAAGACCTTTTCTTCTTCTCTACCAAACAAAATAACAATCTCAATTCTAGAGCTTCTTTATTGGTAAGATCATTCCAAGCAAGTGCAATTCACTAAGACATTAATTTCAGGGAAACAGCTTCAATACCCATTGTGAACTAAGGAGATACTAGCCCCCCTCTGAACTAACTCAACAATATTTTACATATCTGCAGTTCAGTGTCCTATGCAAAACTACTATAGAAACTCCAAATCACTACAATTTGGCCTCAAACAACTAGCTACAAGAAGGTTGCACAGACAAAAGTTTAATCGAGAATGAGAGTAGAACGCACCTTTTTCCATTTCGCAATCAGGCTACGATCTGCATAGCCTTGATCCAAGCAGAACTCATACAGCTCTTTAGATATTTCTTTCCTTCGGTAGTAAAGGTCATATACATACCGACTCCTCTGATGAGAGACTTTGAAGATCGGCCATAAAGTTTCACACTTTCTTTTGCCATCATGTGTATCCATCTCAGCTGCACAAGGAACAAAAATAGTTAAAAGCAGAAGCAAAGGCAAAGAGACAAACTTTAGGGATCTGAATATTGGTAATATCAAAAAAGCTAGATCGAAACTAACCTTCTCTCATCTTGGCATCAAGCTCTCGAAGAGTAGGCTCGATCAGCTCCCACCCTTCTGGGTACTTGACTCGGTTAGTCTTAACCTTTGGCATTTTTTCTACAGAATGAAAATTCACAGCGTTAGACAAAGGAACAAAATTAAGACTTTGATGCTTCTTTAAAGACAACCTTAAGCATTTGAATATATAAGCAAGGCCAGTTCACTAAAATTAGGATTTATACTTTAAAGCTATCATCAATTCGACGCAACGACAACGAGTGGATTCCGAATTCAATCCAGAACATTCTAGGTAAAGGTTTCAGCAAATTGAATAGGGATAATAAGGGTTTATCAATATCTGTGAATTGAGATCGACACGAACCTTACAGAAAGTAGCAAATTAGGGTTTAGAAACGAATCGAAACTACTGCAGGGATGCGAAGCAAGATTAGCCTACAGAGGGAAATCGAAAAAGCTTACCTTTGGAGAAGTTTAACGACAGGACGTATTTCGTTTCTTTTTAGTTTTTACTGTTTATCTTTAAATTTAACTGGATAAAACATTTTTTTCCCCCAATCAAAGTTACTGTGAGCAATCATTTTATTTAGAAATCTTGAGGTTAGATTCTTTCATTGGATTTTTGTGCTTTCATTTTACTTATTCCTTTGCTTATTTGGTAAGGAGGACAAAACCAAATCATCATCACCGCCTTAACGCTTGGATAGAACCACAGATGCTTGCAAAATTTAGTAGAAACAAACCAAAGAATTTCAACATGTCATAAAAAGCAAATGAAGAACCCTCCAAATTTTGGAACTTTATAACATCAAACATCTTTCAGCTTTCGACATAGTCTGCGACTAAGCAATTATTTGGCAAAACGCAATAAACAGCTTCAAGAAAAAGACGAGTACCACCTTATTCTGCAACCGCATATGGGCAGCCACTGGATACATATCGAAACCAAAAGCAAAGAAAAGGAAAAAATGAAGAAGAAGCTGCTGCTTATTCCTTCTTCCCGATTCCATTCGACATGTTGTAGATCCCTGTTCCCTGTATCCGGCCACACAAATCTTCCAGAGTTAGATGATGAACAAACCCATTTGACTAGGGCATTCAGGTTTTAACCAAAGAGCATCTATTGGAATGAACAAGTTCTTAAGTATGAGATTTCACTTCAAGCCATTGAAAACACACTTACTAAAAAGACAGTGTAAAAAAGGAAGGATAGATTCGAACACAAAGCAGATGGCAAATGCGAGTATGGATACATAAGTCTGAGTATCAATGGAACAGATAAAACTTACAATCATGTAGAGAGAACTTGCAGCCAAGGCAATAGGGATTGCAACGGAGGTGATCTTGTCCATTGGTCCTTTTAGGTAAGTGTGCCTATGGATGCTCTGGAACAATCTCTGCTTCTCCAGAAGCTTCTCTCGTGGCCTAAATGGAGTTTCAGTCAACATGATCTGCGAGTCCATAGCCACGCATAAAACCACTATCACTCAAGGCAATGACCAATATATATATGAGATAATAACGCATTTACCGAGAAGAACAACACTGATAAACAAAAAAAAAAGTAGTACTTGAATCAAAACACTAAATTGATTATGAGCCTACATCCAAATTGTTTCTGTGACATCATTTCGATTCCAAAAATGTTTTTATCATCAAAAGACCACGAAAAAGCCTCAAAATTCAGAGCTGGATCTGAGTGCGTGCAAACTATCGAAACATGGTTTCTACATCAGAGCGATCAAATCGTCGCAATTCAGAAAATTACGGTTGATTCCGGATTACAGTAGGTCAATTATCAACAAATTGAACGGGAATAAATAGGTTTATCATTTTCTGCAATTTGAGATCGACAAAAACCTTTCAAAAAATAGAGAAAAAGTTACGTCTACAAACGATTCCACCAGAGGGATGAGAAATCACGATTGATCTAAGAGGAAAAACTGAAGAAGCTTACCTGAGAGAGAAATTAATCGACAAGATAAGGGAGTTTGAGGAGAGAAAGGGATCGGAGTGCAGATGGAGAACGAAGAACAGCAAAATGGCGTTGAATCGTCTTAGGGTTGGGTTTAACAAACGTTTTCACTTGGGCCGATCATAAATTATAAAAGCCCAAATTGACCCAAGAATTAAAATATACCAAACCGGTCTTTCTAATTTCAATTTGTGTTCTGAACCGGCCGTTCTTCTTAAGGCGTATCTCTCTGCCTTCTTCGCCTCCTCGCATCGTCTCTCTCTTTCTTTCTTTCTCTCTCTCTATAAGAACCCAGACGCTTCCATAATAACAGAGGCGGGAAGATATTCGCGCGAGTTTAAAAGAAAGCGAAACCCTACTTTCTGGGCGAAGAAGAAGATGAGCGTATGGAACTACGTCGTTACGGCTCACAAACCCACCTGTGTCAGTCACTCTTGCGTGGGAAACTTCACCAGTCCTCAGGAACTCAATCTCATTGTTGCGTATGGAACTTCTCTCTCTCTTTTCTTTCTTCTCTTGCATTCCTTCTGTTAATTTGGGGATTAGGGTTCATAGTTTTCATCAGGGATCGATTTCTTTTCCGTGGCTCTACTTTGAGAGCTGAGTTTTGTGGTTTGTAATGTATATGGGATTCTTTGATATGGTGGATCGTTGTTTATGTGGGAGATGTACATAATCGATTCACCAGTTGATCTACCAGTGACTGCTCTAGACTTGATTAGATTGGGACGCTATGCTCTCTTGAAGATGAAAAGTCTTGAGTGGAATTCAAGTTTTGTTTGCATACAGTTCTGTAAATTCTTTCGAAAAATATCTCGTTTTCTGCTTAGTTGACAGCTCTGTTAAACTTATCTTAGGAAATGCACTCGAATCGAGATCCATCTGCTTACTCCACAGGGACTTCAGGTACATAATCTCTCATGTTCGTCCGAAATGTTTTTGTTACCATTGGTCTCATTTTGGAAGATAGAGTTCCCCATATGGATCGGATATGTTGAGTGATTTAGATTTTTGCAGACTATGCTGGATGTTCCTCTATATGGTAGAATCTCAACTTTGGACTTGTTCCGTCCCCATGTGAGTTTAGTTTTCTGGATGCGTAGTTTTTTTTTTCACTCTGAGGTGATTTAAGTGGCGATGTTAATTGATACTATACTTCATCTTTTCCAGGGTGAAACACAAGATTTTTTGTTCATTGCAACTGAGAGACATAAATTCTGTGTACTCCAATGGGATTCTGAGTCCTCTGAGCTTATTACAAGGTACAGTTTGCCATGAAAAATCAACTTTTTCCATGCAGTCAGATGAGATTGAGAAACTGGATTAGTTATTTCCCTTTTGATATGCTTTCTGTAATTTTTCTTTTCGAATTTGGTTCGGATCACATTTTATAGGGCAATGGAGGATGTTTCCGATCGTATTGGCCGACCAACAGACAATGGTCAGGTATTGAGTTCAGTAGTACTGCACTGTATCTTTCATAGTGGTTTGATTTTCCTTCTTTAGTCGTATATGTGTAATTTGAGGGTTATGTGGCATTCCTGAGTTCCCACTGGACACTGATTTTGCAGATTGGTATAATTGATCCTGATTGCAGATTGATAGGTCTCCATCTTTATGACGGCTTGTTTAAGGTATGATATTGTCTTCAGAAGAAATTTGACTTATGGTTTGCTATTAATTGGCATTATATGAAGGTCTGTTCTGGTTTCTTGGTTTCGTGGTTAGGTCATTCCATTTGACAATAAAGGACAGCTTAAGGAAGCTTTTAACATAAGGTACTCTTTCTCAGTAAACATGCTGCGATTTGGAGGCTGTCAAGCTTATATTTTTCTCCTTTTTAATGTGTTAGTCGTCTACATCGTGTGTGCTCTAGTGCACCCTTGTTTTAATGCATCAAATCGTTCCTGAATTGACTCGGTCAATACTCTTGGTTTCTTGCAAATGTGATTATTTTTGAGGACCACAACGCTTAATTTATTGACTACGGTGCCTAAATTTCAGGCTGGAGGAGTTGCAGGTCCTAGATATCAAGTTTCTGTATGGATGCGCAAAGCCAACAATCGCAGTACTTTATCAGGTTTACATACGTAATTAATGGATATGCTATGGAAATTATTTTTTTGTAAACCATATAATTTGGTTATTCCATGTGAACCTGATTCTGTAAGCAATTATGTTCATATGAATCCTTTTCCTCTCTTAATGCCCACTGTGTTTACAAGCTGGTGGAATTTGAGTGAATTAGCTCTGCTCTATTTATAGTTGTATCTTCTTTTAAATGAATTATATCTTTTCTCTTAACTTGGCTTACTTTGCTTATGCAATGTGATGTATGCTGGGTAAACTAATTAATGCTTGGTTACAGGACAACAAAGATGCTCGGCATGTAAAAACATATGAAATTGCTACAAAGGATAAAGACAAGGTCTTTGTTGAAGGGCCATGGTCACAGAACAATCTTGACAATGGTGCTGACCTATTGATCCCTGTACCTTCACCCCTGTGTGGCGTTCTTATCATTGGGGAAGAAACTATTGTCTACTGTAGTGTCAATGCATTCAGAGCAATACCAATAAGACCTGTAAGTTTTTTTTGACATCATGCCATATACACAACATTTGCATAACCTTTCAATGAGTACCTCTTTTCATTTTCAATTTTTGAACATGAACTTCAATTTGTATGTCCAGTGCATCACAAAAGCATATGGAAGAGTTGATGTTGATGGCTCTAGGTATCTTCTTGGTGACCATGCCGGACTGATCCACCTCCTTGTTATAACCCACGAGAAAGAAAAGTGAGCTGATATTACAAAGCATTATTGAAACGAATGATAATTTGTATATTCTGACTTTATTATTTTTCTCAAGGGTCACTGGCCTCAAATTTGAGCTTTTGGGTGAAACCTCTATAGCATCTACCATCTCCTATCTTGACAATGCTGTCGTCTTTGTTGGCTCAAGCTATGGAGACTCACAGGTATTCTAGGATTGAATATAATTCTCATTACATAGTCTTTAAAATTTAATATTCTTAAAAAAAGTAAAAGTATGTAGTTTTTGGGTTACCACTATCCTAGTTATTTTTGTCGGATTATCATCTTCTCTGAGTTATAGTATAGATACATGCTATCAAGCATCTGACCGTTTTCTTTTTGGAATTGCAGCTTATAAAGTTAAACAGGAAGCCGGATGCAGATGGTTCATATGTAGAAATTTTAGAAAAGTATGTCAACTTGGGTCCTATTGTCGACTTTTGTGTAGTTGACCTTGAGAGACAGGGGCAAGGCCAGATTGTGACTTGCTCTGGAGCATATAAGGATGGTTCTCTTCGCATAGTTCGCAATGGGATAGGCATAAACGAACAGGTTTGATGTCTATCAGGAATGTCATTTTGTCTCAAATGTCATGTATGAGCAATTTTCTCATTTTCTGTAATATAATAATAAGCCACTGTTGTGTTACAGGCGTCCGTGGAACTTCAAGGTATCAAAGGAATGTGGTCGTTGAAAGCTTCAATTGATGAAGCGTTTGATAGATTCCTCGTAGTGAGTTTTATCAATGAAACTCGTATATTAGCCATGAATATGGAGGATGAACTGGAAGAAACAGAGATTGAGGGTTTCTTGTCTCAAGTCCAGACTTTATTTTGCCATTATGCTGTCTACGACCAACTTGTACAGGTATGTTAACTCAGTGCTTATATCCCCTTCTTGTAATGATCTCTCAAGGCAGGAAAAAGTTCGTCGAAATCCATTAAATAAGCGATAAGTCTCTTTTCCAGATTATCATCATAGATATTTTTCTTTTTATTCACTGTATTTTAGGCCTTTTTTGGTCTTTCAAAGCGAAGCAAACGTAGAGTTCGTGTTAGTTATAATGTGTATTTACGGTTAGTCCGTTGTCATTTTTAGGCCTTTTAGATCTTCCATAGTGAATCAATTGTCGATGTGCTTCTGACATAGTTTCTTTTTATTTAATAGTTGTTATTTTTCTTAGTGTTCTCTTCTATATTTTCCTCGAGGGTGCACTAACTACTGTCTTTTCTTAATCAGGTTACTTCAAATTCTGTTAGATTAGTAAGTTCTACAACTAGAGAATTGCGGAATAAATGGGAAGCCCCAGTTGGATTTACTGTTAATGTTGCAACTGCAAATGCCAGCCAGGTGTGTCTTTTTTTCTTAAGAATTTTATTTGTAGCTTCTTTATGTAAAATCTGGCCCAGAGAGAGAAGAATTCTAGGAGTTCTCGACGATACATGGATTTCTTTCTTTCTCAACTTGTAACTTAAAGTATCTTCTCGTTTCTAGACATGCAATGAGATTTGGAATGTATACGTGTTAGGTTCTTTTGGCAACTGGAGGTGGGCATTTGGTCTATATAGAAATTGGAGATGGGACATTGACGGAAGTCAAACATGTCCAGTTGGAGTACGAGGTCTCTTGTCTCGATATAAACCCCATTGGGGATAATCCTAATTACAGTCAGCTAGCTGCAGTGGGGATGTGGACAGATATAAGTGTGAGGATTTTCCTGCTGCCGGACTTGACTCTTATTACTAAGGAGCAACTAGGAGGAGAGATTATTCCCCGATCTGTTCTTCTTTGTGCATTCGAAGGGGTATGGTTTTCGTCAAAATTTTGTGGAATGACCATCTTACTTGTTAATGCACCCCTTTGGTTGTCATACTAAGTAACAGTGGTATTTCATTTGTTCGCAGATATCTTACTTACTTTGTGCTCTTGGAGATGGTCATCTCTTGAGCTTCCAGTTGGATACGAGTAGTGGGGAGTTAAGAGATCGGAAAAAAGTATTACTGGGGACTCAGCCTATAACTCTGCGTACATTTTCATCTAAAAGTGCTACACATGTCTTTGCTGCATCAGATAGACCTGCTGTAATATATAGCAACAACAAGAAGCTGTTATACAGCAATGTGAATCTGAAAGAAGTTAGTCATATGTGTCCTTTCAGCTCTGCTGCTTTTCCAGACAGGTAAACTACTTTCTTCCTTTCTAATTTCCTTTGGGGTCGAATCACATTGTGGTGAAATCTGGTTCTGCTTCTTCTCTTCCATGAGCAGCCTAGCAATAACCAGGGAAGGCGAGCTTACTATTGGCACCATCGATGATATTCAGAAGCTTCACATACGGACTATCCCCATTGGAGAGCACGCTCGTCGTATCTGCCATCAGGAACAAACGCGAACACTGGCTGTCTGCAGTTTGAGAAATCAACTGAGTGCACAAGAATCTGAAATGCATTTTGTCCGTCTGTTGGATAGCCAATCTTTCGAATTCTTGTCAGCTTACCCTTTGGATGCCTTTGAATATGGTTGCTCCATACTGAGCTGCTCGTTTACAGATGATAAAAAGGTCTATTACTGTGTCGGTACATCATATGTTTTGCCTGAGGAAAATGAACCTACTAAGGTATCCTTTCAGTGAGCACACTACCTTTTGAAAATTATTTTTCCCAAGTCTTTTTGTTAATTTTTGTTTTGTTTTTTCTTCTTGTGGTTGTAGGGAAGGATACTTGTGTTTGTAGTTGAAGAAAGAAAGTTGCAGCTGATCGCAGAGAAGGAAACTAAGGGATCTGTGTATTCTCTTAATGCCTTCAATGGCAAACTTCTCGCTGCTATTAATCAGAAAATTCAGTTGTATAAATGGATGTTGCGGGATGATGGCACTCGTGAGCTCCAGTCTGAATGTGGACATCACGGTCACATACTAGCTCTCTACGTGCAGACCCGTGGAGACTTCATTGTCGTTGGCGACCTCATGAAATCAATCGCCTTGTTGATCTACAAGGTAGATTTTTTTTTCCATCTTCTTGTGATTTTTATGTTCATAAGAACTTGCCTGGACTCTTTTGATTGTTTGTGTTTGTTATGAAGCATGAGGAAGGTTCGATAGAGGAGATAGGTCGGGACTATAATGCAAGCTGGATGACGGCAGTTGAGATATTAGATGATGACACCTATCTCGGTGCTGACAATTGCTCTAACCTATTCACAGTAAAGAAGAACAACGAAGCTGCTACAGATGAAGAACGGGCTCGTATGGAGGTGGTTGGTGAGTATCACATTGGGGAATTTGTGAACCGATTCCGCCATGGCTCTCTTGTGATGAGGCTGCCTGATACAGAAATTGGTCAGATACCGACAATGATATTTGGCACTGTTAATGGGGTGATTGGAGTGATAGCTTCACTGCCTCAAGAAGAGTATCTGTTTCTAGAGAAACTGCAGACGAGTCTGAGGAAAGTGATAAAAGGAGTAGGCGGTCTGAACCATGAGCAATGGAGATCGTTTAGCAACGAGAAGAGAACTGCGGAAGCAAAGGGTTTCTTAGATGGAGATCTTATTGAATCGTTCTTGGATCTGAGCAGGAGTAAGATGGATGAGATCTCTAAAGGCATGGATGTTCAAGTGGAAGAGTTGTGCAAGAGAGTTGAGGAACTCACTAGGCTTCACTGAGAAAATGCAAAGCTCTCTCTCCCTCTCTCTTTACCTTCTCTCCTTTGAAAACTTGAATGGTTTCATAGAAGAAGTGTCTTTTTCGTTGGTAAGTTCTTCTTTGCTTGTGCCCCTCTTTTATGGTGGTGGTTCAGATTCTTTCTATTGGTTTTTTTTTTTATCAATGGTATTGGCAAGTGTAAGTGAGATGAAAATTTCAAGTTTTGTAGAGAACGGTTAGCAATATTGTAACTCAAAAGAAAGATTCTCTTTACAAAATAATACATACAAATGTACCTGAGGATCGGTTTTTGATTGGTCTGATCCGGTTCAGCACGGTATTTGAGAACGTCAAAATGAAATAACCAGAACGGTTTAGAAAGATGATGGAGGAGAGAAAGGACTCAGCTGAAAAGTTCTCATTCTCCGACAGAGGAGGTTGTCTTTCTTCTCTACGCACGAACCCTAAAATTCTCTTTTAGCCATTTCCTCCATCTTCAAGCACCCAAAAAACCCTCTTCTTTCATCGAATCTTGTACAAAGTAATTACGAAAGCAAGAGAAAGTAAAAAATTAAGCTTTTAAAAAAATATGCATATGTAAAAGAAAAGGTTGTATTCATATATATATATGAGTTTGTTACATTGGACTTAAGAAAAGATCAACAACAGTTTATAAGAGTCATGAGTCAATCTATAACTAGTTTTGAATTGAATATTTACTGACTCTCAATATAATAAAAAATAACACTAAAAATGAAAAGGAATCAGCATTAGTATACATGAGACATGAACTAATTTATGCATCGTCTTTGTTAAAACGGACTTTACGAGAAATAATAGATTTAGATTTTGGTTTTGGATCACAAGTTTTTATCTATAATTGTTTTCTCTTAAATATAACGCTTACTTTCAACTTTTGTTCTATAGAAGTTACTCAGCTCCTCCAATCAGTTGAGTTAATCGTACTTACGTTTACTTGCTATGATTATTTTTAGTTATATGACATTTTTGTTGAAAGTTGAAACCAATAAGTTCAGAACCTATACCCATAATTTCCATAGGGTATAATAAATTTTCTTTTGATCTGAATACCATCATTGGAAAAACACTTAGAATTGTTCTCTATACATGTAAAAAGGAGAAGGATAAAGGAAAAGGTTTATGAAATGGAGATTGGTGGGGATAGTATGGTCAACTTTTTCGCTAAGGCATAGCATGGATATTATTGAACCACTAGAACATAGTCGACACAGAGACATGCTCATAATCTTTTGTTCCCATCACCAATTAGTAGATGAATCTTTTATCAAGCGTTTCTCTTTTATCATGGACATACTAGATTACTGTTCTATGTCGGATGCTTACATCATATGTATTACAAAGATTAACTTAATTGCCACAATCATTTTAAAGAGAGACACTGACGACAAATAAGAGAGGGATAATGTAATTGTAGAGTTTTTTTCTGATAAAAAAATATAAAAATCACAATATGTAATTATACAAACTTATGCAATAATATCTCTTAAAATTAAATTTAAAATAGTCAAATCAAAAAGTAATTTGAAAATTTGTATTGGTTTAGTTTTCTTTACTATGAACATATCTAGATAAATTGGTTCCAACAAAAAAAAACAATATGCTTGATAAAATGTTTGTTGTCCATTAATTCATATTTCCACCAAAATCCAAAGTACTTGTCAAATGTTTTTGGGAAATTAGTATGGATATTGACTTAAGAGACCCAGTTACGAAAACATCTGATCTTAGGAGACTAATAATGTGTAGGCCATAGAAGGTCGAATCACTTATTCAAGATGTGAAAATGGTTTAACAAAAAACATACTCCCTCTGTTCCTTAGAGATCTATGTTATGTTTTGGGATTTCCACACACTAAGTTATTTGAAAGAAATATAACCTTATTTTCTTACTTCAATTTTTTAAAAATATAATCACGTTTAGCATTGTATTGAATTTGTTGAATCGAAGTATTATTACATTAATTTTTGTGGAAAAACAAATCTTGAAACACAATTTTTTATAAACTTTTATTATCCAGCTAGAAATCTGTAAAAAACCTTAATAGCACAATGCTTCCAAAAATAAAGCTCACGAACTTATTACATTATCCATACATCAAAGCATCAAAGATAGCCCTCTAGCAAAACGCTTCCACCTAATTGCTTAGGCTGCAAATCTTTCACAGCTTTTGATTCTAACCAGTTCATAGACCCGACCAGTCTCTCATCTTTCGCGCACCATTCCGGCAAAACCTCAACCATTATCTTCTGCAACAGTTTCTGCTCAAATCCATCTCTCAGAAGCACTTCAAGGTCTTTAATGTTTCCCCTCAAATCCAACAAGACACTGCATAGTCCACGGTGATAACAGTAATCCAAGATGGAATCCAAATTCATTTTTTCCCATACCACGGTTTCAACATTGCTGATTCCGGATTCTGTAACATATTCCTTTTTGGTGAACAGTAAAACTTTTGGAGCCGATTCTTCCACAGTGTTGGAAGAAGCAAAGATGGGAGACTGTTGAGCATTGCTAACCACTATGATTTGAATGGGTTGGTTCGAAACATTAGCTTCTTGTGAGGAAATGCTCGAGAGCTTATCAGAGAACGACGAAGAAAGAATAATAGCATCATATTCTTGTAATAGCTTTGAGTAGTATCCACCAGTATCCAAAGCACCTTCCCCAATCTTGTCAAGAAAACAACCATTGAAAGATATAGAATACCTGCAAAGAAGATTTTCAAACCTCAAAAAACAATCTATGAGCTCGGGTTTGTCTCCACTCAAGAGAAAGCGATGAACTTTACCTGAGTGCGAGAAAAGGCTTTCCTGTTAGCATTCGATGGATGAATCCCTCATTCATCTTCTTGCATAAGTCTTCTTCTACACCCACAGTGACATCAATTCCAGCATCTATCAAACGACTAATCCCAGAAGAATAAACGATTGGATTCGGATCAACCATCCCAACAACAACTCTTTTCACCTTAGCCTTGATCAATGCTTCTGTGCACGGCGGCGTTCTACCGTAATGGTTACATGGTTCTAAGCTAACATAAGCAGTGGCATTCTCAGCTAAGTCTCCAGCATCTCGAAGAGCAAACACCTAACAATACCAAGAACGACTTTCACCATTAATCAAAACTCATCAACGCCTACTTCATTTTCACAATGATAAAAAAAGACAATGCAATCTTATAAGATCTGCATCCTAAGCAAACAAGACTCAAAGTTTTCTCATTTCCAAAAACCCATCAAGGGAAAAAGCTGCAATTCTGGTTGTTACCTCAGCATGAGGCTGACCAGCTTTGGGATGAAACCCTTCGCCAACGATTTTACCATCTTTAACAATGACACAACCTACCATGGGATTAGGACTAGTACACCCAATTGCTCTCTTTGCCAGTTCCACACATTTCCTCATATAAAACGCATCATCACTTTCAGTTCCTTGTTCACTTTTCATCGCAGCCAAAACAGATTTGCTGAAACTAGTTTGAGATTTTTGTAATCTTTTGGAAGATATGGAGAAAAAACCGTGTTTTCGGTTTTGAAACGAAGCGAGGTTGAAAATGTGGCGAGGATATGAAGGTAGCGATAAAACTGGAGTTGAGATTCGAGGAGTGTTCGAGGAAATCGAAACTGGGAGACATGTGATCTGCATATCACTATTTGATCTTGATATAGACGATGGAAATCGAAATCTGATGGCTTTTCTTCACCAAGCTAAACAACAATCCCAAGTCAACAACAATCCGAATTTTAGAAAATCTCGTTGACTTATTTAAGAATTACTTATTGATATTATACGGGCTCAATATCAGGCACTTGCGCGATCAATTTAATACGGGCCCGTAGTATTTATAGTGCAGCCTCCCCTTCTCATTTATCCAAGTTTGTCGATGTGGGACAACTCAAAAGACCTATGTTTTAAAAAAATGTACATGAGGGGATCGGTTTTGTTTGGTCTGATCCGGTTCGGTACGGTATGTGAGAAATTGTCGGAACGTCAAAACTGAAAAAGAAAATAAACCAGAACGGTTTAGAAAGAAGGTGGAGGAGAGAAAGGAATCAGCTGAGACTCACATTCGCCGACGGAGGAGGTTGGTCTTTCTCTACGCACGAACCCTAAATCCAATTTTAGCCATTTCCTCCATCTTTCAAGCACCTAAAAAAACTCTTCTTTCGTCGAATCTTGTAAAAAGTAATAACCTTTTTGCCCTCTCTGTGTTTGTTTTACATTTTTGTACTGTGAAATTGTCATTTTGTTTTTATCGTTAACTATTTGTTCAACAGTTTCAGTTTCTGGCAAATCTAATGGATAATATGTTTCTCTGTTACGCAGTCTGAATTACTTGGAGGTTTTAGCTGTACCTTTTGGCGGCGCCAAAATCATGCTCTTCCACAGGCTGTTAAGATTAGGTTCTCGCATTGTTAAGGAGCTTCCAAGAGGTATTTATTTCTTTTAAATATTCTTCCAATCTCTCCAATAATCTCTCCTTTGTTCTTTTGCTTGTGGTGGTGAAAGCAAAGCTCATATATTGTCTGTGTGGTTTAACTCATTGTTTATGTTTTGGGCAGAAAGGCATTTCACAATATGTGGAAGGCGGTTTCTACAAAGATCTTATGGCCAATATCTGCTATCTTCGGTTAGTCTGAGCTTTGTTCTCAGTTTGTGAAAATTTATTGTACCTTGCATTTTCCAAATGCATCTTGCTTTGGTTCACTGATTAGACATTTTTTTTCCCAATCTCGATAGTGCTTCATTGTTTCGTAGCCACTCTCCTCTGATTACAATGTTAATTAGGTAAAAGCTTTGTTGAAATTGATTTTGGTTTTGTATTCTAGCTAAATCTGAATAAAGGGTATATAGATATACCATCTTTGCGAATGTCGTGAAATAGATTTAGCTAATTAGAGTTTATGCAATCAATGGAGAGAATCAAAATTTATGGTTTTGGTTCAAAGAGCTAACCAAAGAGGCTCTTGATATGTATCTTAGATATATTATGCCATATGTAAGTGAATTAGCTTCGAAAGTCGGGTGGTTTTGATTCATATTTTTCTTTTACAGATTCCATCTTGAATTGATATCTCTGCTCTTTCTTCTTTTTTGACAAGGCTGTACTAGAGAGACAACCTAGGACTTTTCAGGACGCCTTTTTCTCAAATAACCACAATCTGTGTACATCTTTCAGCACCACTGCCTCTGAAAAAGGTGGCGAAGAAACAGAAAAGTAAGTTCAAATTTATCTCAAAAAACATTCAACTCTTGACAATAACCAATTATTTATACACCAGTAATGTCGCCTGAATGTAAGAACATGCATTTCATTTTCTTTTTGGTCAGGATAAACGTTATCTTTGTTGATAAAGATGGAGAGGAAATTCATGTTAAGGTCCCAATTGGGATGAACATCCTTGAAGCTGCTCATCAAAATGATATAGAACTCGAAGGCACGAGTTTCCTTTTCATTCTATCAATTTTTTTTTTTTTTTTTTTTGTAAATTGATATGCTTTCTCGCTTAAACCAAAGATTGATCCTTTGATTGGAAACTTACGGGTTGCTTTCTCTAAATATTCAGGGGCGTGTGAAGGTTCTCTAGCGTGTTCAACGTGCCATGTGATTGTTATGGTAAAAACTGTCTCTTCCTTACAATCACTCATCTGCATAGATTGATCATGCATTGTGTTTTATAACCAAATAGTTGAAATAGGACACGGAATACTACGATAAACTCGAAGAGCCAACAGATGAAGAAAATGATATGCTGGATCTTGCTTTCGGGTTAACAGAAACGTGAGTCCTCTCTCTCTCTTTCTCTATATTGCGCTATAAATCGGGTTTCATTGAAAGTGCTGACATATATGTTCCTTTGAAAAAATGTTTATAGGTCGCGATTGGGATGTCAAGTGATAGCAAAACCAGAGCTAGATGGAGTACGCTTAGCCATTCCTTCAGCCACTAGGAATTTTGCAGTTGATGGGTTTGTTCCAAAACCTCACTAGCCACTTCAAAGTTGGATCTTTCAGTTTAGTTGAGTTTTCTGAGGTTACACTTGTTTATTCATCGAAAAACCATATTACATAAAACCTTAGGGAGTTATAGATATTGTAATTCATAAGGTGAGATGTTATAGATGTTGTAATTCAACATTCCTGAAGCAAACAGTTGCAGTCGCTCTACTCTAATTCCGTGTGATTTTTTGGTTGTGGTTAATGAAATAATGATGTTCAAGGAACTTTCATCACAAACTTTCAAAGATTAACATACAGAATGTGTAAATGTGCGAACAAAACCTAAAATGTGCGAATAAATGAAATACTGTTGAGTATACACAATGCTCCATACTCCTACTGACAAAAATATCCAACGATGGTCTCACAATTTTATATCAAGTCTAGAATTTGGCAACCTGCAATAGAATCCAAGACCCATGAACTGCTTGCAGCTCTAGCTCTAGCAGATTTAGCCAAGGCTTCACCATCAGATCTTCTTTGAGTCAGACTTTTCTTCTTGCTTGGCTCAACACTAAATACTACTATCGTTGAAGCTTCATTATCATTAGAAATGGGCCGTCTGCGCAGGATTGTTCCTCCTGCTGCTACAATCAGATCTTGAAGATACCCTTTGTAAGCAAGCTCGAAATCCCCCATTATGTAAAATTTTAGCTCATTAAAAAGTTTTGGTTCCTGCATATTGGAGAATGAAAACATTCAGATAAACATTCTCAAATCTGTTGTACAATAGAGTGCATCAGAGAGATGGAGAGAGAGACGAAGCTAACCTTGTTTATAGCTCTTTGTCTTCCAAGATAAGGTCCTTCTCGAATTCCGTGAACATCCATGTAAATCTCATATGGCTCCTCGCTTACATACTTTGTATTTTTTAGACACGCCTTAATCCCTGCAAGAAAAGGTATACAGACATTTTGACTTGATTAAATAATTTCATAAATTGCAAATGTATATGTTTCGTTGCTGATAGAATAATAATAATACTTACAGTCAATGCTTAGAATCCATTTCCCCTCCAAGATCCCCATCATGAATTTGAGTGTCCTTTTGCAGGCTCCATTTTCGTTGATTGATGCAATGACATGTGTAACACTTGGTTCCCATTTTCTCGAGATTGTAACACCAGACAGTTCAGCAAATTCTGAAATCACAATCTGCAATCCAAACCATCCTTGGAATTTAAGTTTCAAAGTCGAGAAGCTTTCATAAAGTAAAAAGAGTATGTATATATATATTTTCCATACCTTCTCTTCATTGGTAAGTCCTGAGCAGCATAGAACCAATTTCTTGGGTAATCCGTGCAAAGGCTTGCTCTGGAGCTCAGTGATGTCAGGTGTTTCAGATACTTGATTATTAGGCTGAGACTGCAGTGATCTACAGAAGATAGATAGAGTTATTGTCAACACTCTAGTTTCAGATATTAGTATCACTTCATAATCCCTATCAATAGATATAAATGACACACTCTTTAGGAGTACGCTTGCGTTTTCTTTCTTTTGGTCTAGTCTCTTCACATGGCAACTTAATGGATGCATCCAAAGGGCATAGCATTACAAAGTTTTCCTGTTGATAAGAAAAGGTGTTAAGGGAACCATATATATAGGGGGACTATATAGAGCTTCCATAATCTATGCAACACTTACATTGTCCCATCTACATTCTGGTATCAGTTTTGCACACGTAACATGAAAGCTATTCTTACAACTCTTATTGTAACAACCAAGTGCTGCGCCTTTAAGCCCACAGCCACTGCAACTTATTCTCCGGCTTCTTGTCAACTCCACATTAAGGTTGACTGCGTTAAGGTTGTTGAAGTATACATTTGGAGCCCTGAAAATTCGATACAGTTTCATGGTTATTCAGTAATACTATTCAACATGCATGAGTTGGTTCTTGTGAACATGTACCAGTTATCTTACCATTCAGCACAGTTTTTGTGAACATGTATGACCTTAGATCCACCATTAAAATCTGCAGAGACAGGTTCACCTCTGTGGTAGTGAGCCATTTCTCCTGAAGCCTGTCAATATAACATTCCAATGAAGAAAATGGTAAAAATCACCTAAAGGTCTAAACAACTAGGACTCCAATGTGAGATAGTGAAGCGTACCTCTGTGTCTTCTGAAGACTGACAAAAGGCGCAAGTGAATTTATCTATTGGAGGTCCATCACATCGTCGCAAAAGTACACTATCTCCAACTGAGGGTTTGTTCATCGTTGAACATTTCTCTGAAACTTGCATGGTACGATTGCCTTTATCCGCAGTGGATTTCTTTTTATTAGTTGAATCTTGTCTATCACCCACTTGATTCAACTCATCACTTAAGATTTTCTTGCCACGCACTCTGCTTAAGAATGAACATGAATCAATTTTTGATCTCTTTTCTGAAGTCTTCTCTTCAGTTTTTCCAGAAAGATCTTTTGGAATGGAGGATTCACTGGATTTTCTTCTCTTCTTCAGAGAGGATTTTTCGGCAGGATTTTGTTTATCCGGTTGCGTATCAGATGAACCATGGGCTTGTTCCTGATCCCCTTTTCCCACAATATCTGTTCCAAGTGAGAGCTCATTAGATCCAGGAACCAGGTGATCTGGAGAGGATTTAACGCTTGATCTTTTCCTCTTTGTCCCCTGCTTCCCCTCTGCCTCCACGGACATACTTAAATCAGCCTGAACTCGTGAAGTCTGGCTCTTGCTTCTTGTAGCCCGTTTAGCTTTCACATCAGGATTTCTATCCTTCTTGGTAAGTATGCCAGAACTCCCGCCAGTTTCTTGTTTCTCGCTACTACTTGCTCCTGCAGATAACTCCATGTCGTCCTTGGAAACCCCAACGCGTAGTCTAGCAACAGTATTTCTTCCACTTCCTGCTTTACGTTTTTTTTTTGATGATGCTACTTTAGATGGATTTCTTTCAGGAAGATCAATCTCATCACCACCTAGGACCTGAAAATTGATTTCAATTTTCAGTTAATTTAAACCTACTTGAAGAAACTATCAAAGAAAACAAACATCTGGATGTATCATATCAAAGTAAAGAACTGCTTTTACATTGGCCTTCACAGGACTAGGTAGAATCTCTGGAGAACATGGCCTTTGAGTCCATTCAAACATTTCACTGTCAAACATGACTCCTGGGTTGGCCTTTTCTTGCTCACCAGCCTGAAACACTCGCCAACAAGAAAAGGTAAGATCGAAGGATCCGATGCTGTTTTTGGATACTTGAATTCATCAATTTATTAAGATTTTTCATGCAACTGGATATAATTGAAACGAGAGTAAAGATGTGTCAAAAGAGCCTTAAAACTCGCAGCATTCAATCTGAATGAAGAAAAAACTCCGCGCATTACTAAGATGGGTCAAACACATTCTCTATAACCTCAGGGTAAGTGTAGTATGCTCCAATACCACAGAGCAATATAATGCAATATGAATACTGGAAGAGACCGTTAAAAAAGGTTATTGGGGTTTCAAGTACTCACTTTTGACTGGCTCTCGTGATCTGAGTCCTTCAAATCACTGAAAGAAGGAACATCAACAGGTGTAACGTCTAAAAGTTGATCACTTTCTGGCTGACTTAAGCTCTTCCCATCATCTTCATCTCTCAACCAAAAGAAGGGTGCCAGATTTCCGTATTTATTCAGAGATGGATCCTCATTCAAACGAATCACAGTGTTTTCAGTGTAATCCTTGAGTTTTTCAGCTGATTCAGTAGATTTAGTTAAACTTTCAGAAGAGTGATTCTGCAACAGCTGCACCCTTTTCTTGGTTTGGGATGAAGGTTTCATAACAATAGGTCCAGGGGCATCTACATCTGTTTCCTTGGTTTTCCTATATTCTTTCCTCTTGGATGTTCGGCCTTTCCTAGATCCTTGACGATTCTTCTCACTAGTCTTATCAATGGAAGCATCTCTCACATGCTTTTCTTTTCCTGTAGACACAAATCACAGAATAAACATTAAACAGAATTTTGCAGCACAACAAGCATTCAAGAAGAACTTTATGGCTTTTGTTCAAAGTTTCTTACAACCCAAACCCCACTTTTAATTCACTTAATGAGTTAAGAGAAACAGTTTCTGATTTGGTTTAAGCATCAACTGCCTTGGTTTCATTTACGATAATCAAAATGTTAAAGCATTGATCCTACTAGGCAACAGTAAGTACCTGATGGTGATGGTTTATTCTGGCTTACGAACATGTTGACCCCAGAAGCATTTTCCATATTCTTGTAAATGCTCACCAAGCTATCCATATGAGGAGCACCTCGAATCTCTAACATATAGCATAATTATCAAAAACTAGTTAAAACAAAGATATAGTCTATTCGATTACAAACTTGGTTTAGCGATTAGGAAAAGCTATCTCCGAAATTGATCGATTCAAAGCGTACGAAATACCTCTACGATGGTATGGGATTTTACAGACTGGACAAGTAGCATCCATCTTCATGGATTTCACGATACATGCACTGAAACCAAGAGAAGACAGGTATTACTACCGAACAGATTCAAAGAAAATCAAAGGGCTTGTGTAAGAAAACAAAAAGGAGGGGTTTCTTACTTGCAAAAGACATGGTTGCACGAAAGCGAAACTGCAGAATTAAATAGACTCAAGCTGCAAAAAAGAAGGAATTGAAATTGTTAGGGAGGGAAATTAGACGAATGCTTAACACTATCCACTTCGATTGCTAGACAATTACAAGCTAAGACTAAGAAATCGCAAATCAATACTCAGAAATAATTTAGGGTTTTCTCTCGAAAAATTCGCAGAGAAAACTCCGAGTAGAGAGAAATTGATAGACGGGAATTACCAAATAGGGCACTTGAGTTCTCTTCCCATCTTCTCCAGGTGATTTGTCTCTCCCATCTTCTCGTTTCGATCTCTTCACAGATTTGATAAATCAGGAGGGAAACGACTCTCTGGGTATATAGATACGTAGAAGGTGAAGCGTATCCTTCAAAGACGCTTCTCCTGGAAGCTTAGAGAATGTAAGTTAAAACGTTTCACGAGAAAAGCGCCAAATTTTCATTTACTTTCAAACAATTTCAAGTCCCGCCAAAAAGAGTATGTGAAAAAACGCGGTGGATTCATATTAGACTATATTTTCGTTATTCCCCCAAATGTTTATTAGTTTATAACATTTGAACCTATTACTTTTATCATCAACGATTTTACCCTCTGATAACCTTACAAATTGCCCCCACGCAAGGTTCAGTCACAACAAGAACCGATTGCAAAAGGCAACAAATGTGTAATATAATCCCTACATTTCAACAATTTATGTTTTTTTGGTAAAATAGACCAATTTATGATGAAGCAGATATTTATTTCTGCATTACCAGTAATCTTGACAAGAACAAGAACCATCTTTAAAATGGTGAAACCTGCTACGATCTCTTACAACAATCTCTCTATTGTAAACCTTAGACACAAGCTTAATCGCCCAATGACAATCAGCACAAACTCTAAGATTCTTCACGACCCGAATCGGTGATTTTTCTGGTGTACTAATAAGCATAAAAGCAATAGCAATCTTTTCACTGTGATAAACCAGAACATTCTCTTTCTCTTCCTCCTCAACATCAACATAAACGTTCGAAATTTGTGGCACATAACCTTCCAATCTCAATCTATCAGTCATTTCTTTCAGCTTACCATAAATCTCATCGCTTTGTGGATGAGACATATCACCCATAAGAAACTCATGAACTCTGTTTCCTACTTCTACTAAGCTTTGACCGGGAACTTTTCTCACACCGTCTCTTAGCATTTGTCTTCTTATCTTTTGCACATCGGACCAACGCTGCTCAGATGCATACATATTCGACAGCAGAACATAATCACCACTGTGGTTTGGTTCTAGTTGTAAGATCTGGATTCTAGCAAACTCAGCTAACTCCGAATCGCCATGAACAGTACAAGCTCCTAACAATGTTCTCCAGATCACAACATTTGGCTGCATCGGCATTTTCATAATGTATTCATACGCTTTCTTCACTTGTCCAGCTCTAGCTAACAAATCGACCATACAACCAAAATGTTCGATCCTAGGCTCAATCTTATACTCCTCTCTCATTCTCCTGAAATACTCAAAACCTTGCTCTACCATCCCACAATGGCTACAAGCATATAAGATCCCTACGAAAGTGATCTCACACGGTGATAATCCTTCCTTTGATTCCATATCCCTGAAAAGCTCAATCGCTTCTTTTCCAAAACCATTAACAGCTAAACCGACAATCAATGAAGTCCACGAGACACTGTTCTTGTCCACCATTTCATCGAAACATGTTTTGGCTTCTTCGACTCTTCCACATCTCGAGTAAAAGTCCAAGAGTACATTGCTGGAATGTAATTTTCGTGTCAAACCCGCTTTGATCATATATACATGGACTCTCCTACCCAGTGTCAAAGCACCAATCTTGGCACAAGCAGACAACAAGCTAACGACTGTAAACCCATCTGGTTTGATACCTTTCGAATCCATCTCAGTATAAAGCTTTAATGCTTCGTTTGGTTTACCGTTTTCTGCAAAACCATTAATCACAGAGTTCCAAGCCACAAGGTCTTTGACGGGCATTTTATCAAACACCTTGTACGCACTAGATACGTCTCCACAATTGGCGTATAAATGGAGCAGAGAGTTCTGAGCAAATATCAACGAGCCAAACCCACTTCTTATAACGACGGAATGAATCGTCTCTCCCAGCCGAGCATCCGCCATTTTTGCCACGGCTTTAAGAAGAAACGGGTAAGTATGAGTATCTGGCTCGACGAAACCAGAGACTCGCATCTCGCGGTAGAGAGAAACAGCGGAGACGGAATCACCAATCTCGGCGTAGCCTCTGATCAGCGTGTTCCAAATAAAGACATTGATGGGTTTCTCGATCTTAGAGAAGACCTTGTGAGCGTAGGACATGGGAGGTGGAGAAGGAAGAGAGACGAGGTAGAAGATGAGGTGTTTGCCAAACTCGGCGTCTGAGATTGAAACGCCATGGCGGATCGAAAAGGCGTGGACTTTCTTGAGTTTGGTTAGCGATGAAACGCCGCAAGTCTGCAAGAGAGTAATACATTTGTCGACCATGGGAAGTAGCAGAACAGAGGTTTCTGGGTATGGCGACATTTTGCTCTGTTTCGTGTGGGCATTGTTGTCAATTGCATTATCTCCCTCAAATATACTATTAAAAGACTTTCAAAGATGAAAACTTTCCAGAACCCTAAAACAAAAAGAATTCAATTTCGACAGCCGCCGGTTTTCTCTGTCGGAAGAAAGATGCATCCTTCAAAGATGATTCAAGACTAGCCTTTTTGGGTAAGATTCTGCTCTTGTGTGAGAATGGTTTGCTTCAGTTTTGCTCTGATGTTTCTCTATCAATCTAATTTCATCTTCAGATTTCTGCCTCTCAGACTTAAACATCGACATTTTAGACTTCCCTTTATTCTCTACTTCATCTGCATATCTCAAACTTCACAATTTTCTCTGTGTCTTTTTGGAACTTGTTGATTGATTCAACGTGTATCAGAACTTCACGACTGTGAGGTTTTGGCGTGAGGATTAAACACGGTGATAAATAAAACAAAAATAGCACATTTGGCTGCATCCATCTAATCATGAAAAGATCAGTTGGCCGTCTTTGCGCGACAGTTTTGTTTTCATAAGCAATTTGTGTCTTGAGTTGTCTACATTCCATTTTATCTGTCGATTTTTCCAAAGATTGATGCGTATATGTTCTGTTTGTTATTTATACGATCCATGCTCTGTTTGCCCGATAATAAAGCTTTTTTTTCTCTTTGGACATGTGAAACGAAGAAGACGATTCAGGATTACCTGGAGATAAAAGCTTGGGAATTGATGCAAGAAATGCAGATGATCAAGTGAAAGCAATCTGATGAAAGCCAAATCTCAATAATTGCGACTAGTAGATTAATAGCTCAATGACCTTGGCTTGTCAATGCCTTTTTAATGTCAAAGAAATTTTAGTAAAATTTGCTTACATCTCTTTTCTGCGATTAACTTCCTAAAATCATCAATGAACACCAATGTACAACAAGAGATTGTTATCCTGATTGTGTTAAGTGTTAATAACCAGCACCAATGAGGAAAAATTACAAAAAAAGGTCTACGAGGTGCTAAGACTGTAATCCTGTAATCTCCTGACTAGTGCAGTGTTTTGGTCATCTGAAATTGCAGCACTGTGCTCGGCCTTTCAACAAATTATCCCACAGGCAGATCATCTGACTAGGAGATTGGTAATGTGCAGTGTAATAGTTCAATGTGCACCCGTACTGGCAAAATTTCCAACTATGTGAATACTCCACAGGCTGCATCGAGGCGTTGAATTGCTCCACCCACATTCCCATGCTCACATCTTCCATCTTGAACAGCTGTGACAACAAAATATCGAAATAGTTTAGCTCGGGTCAATTCAAAAATTCAGGAAAGATAGATCCTCTTAAGTTCATAATAGTAAGAGATGGAGATGAGAGTTAGAAGATCAGAAAGAGTCAGACCCTAAGCTTGTGTCTTGAATTTTGAGAAACGATATAGTTAGCAATGTTGCTTGAGATTATATATCCAGGTCCATTGGCGTAAGGAGGATACACAGCTTCTGGCCACTCCTGTTACAGTAAATAAGTTGAGAGCATTTAGTATCTGACGCAGCTTCTGATTGCTGAATCATACAAGAGCGTATAAAGGCAGAGAACACAGGCCAATGTACCTCCCATGTAACTGCCCACTTGCCAGTTCTAAGAGGACGATGTCGAAGATTTAGATTGCCCATATAGAGAGATTGTTCCAGAGAGACTCCATCGATTTCTTTCAAGATTGATTCCACTCTGATGAATGTATCATCGTCACATTTCATTATGTATGGAGCTGTCACATTCTGGACCTGAGAAGACACTATCATAATCAGACTTATGTAAAGTAACTACAATCAGAGAGTAGTATACGATTTATATATAAATGGGAGTGGTGAGAGCAGAGATTATCAATACCCCAAATTCGCAGATAGCAATTGTCTTAAGGACAACTAACTCGTAGCGATCCATAAAGGGCAGAATCACAATATCTCCAAAATATTCAGCCTCTTTCTTCAGCATTGCATTAACTTCTTTTCTTGGATTCTACAGAAATAAAATAATTAAACTGCTCAGTATTCTTCAAAACAGTAATTCTCCATATCAATGTTCCAACAAAGTCGATCTGCAGAGTTAGATTTATTATTGATTTTGTTTTCCCTGGATTATGCTAAAGGCTTCACAAGTAGAAAAGGTGGTAAGAACTTACAAGTGCAACAAAGAATCGGGCTACTACATGTGAAAATTTAATAGAAGGATGCTGCATCCATGTCTTTCTCACTGCCATGCGCTCTGAAAAATGTTTAGTTGCAGATAAGACACCGATGAAAAGACGAAAAGGAACGCCAGGCAATGGAGGAGCTTTCCACTCTGAAGAAAACTCTATTGCTTTCTGAGGAGAGAAACTGGGATGAGATGTTGAAAGAGATGTAGCATAAACGGAATGAATATCAACATCTCCTGTAATTGCAAGCCCTGTGGCATCTTCTATGGTGAATCCCTGAAAAGCCAGAAATCACAATATAATACATAAGAAATATCAGACATAGAATTTCTTCGTATGAATGAAAATTATACTGTTGAGAACAATTAGTAAAGCATATGTACATGTAGAATGCTCATCTGATAAAACATACCGGTCGATAAGGGAATGATGTCACATGCCTTCCTCCAACATTTATATGAAAACCGTCAATTCCAGCTCGCAAAGTTAGGACAAAGACCCTGCCTTCCGCAAAAGGGAATGACCAAGTGACCTCTGGTTTCTGTTCATGTCCTATAAACCGTTTAAACCAAGAAGTTGTCTTTGATTCCTTTGAGTCCACCATGCCAATGTTGTCATTCTTCGTCCACTTTTCACATCTTCGGAATCCTTCAACTGGAAAAAGACATCTACTTTGATGAACATAAAGCTAAAAGAAACATAACTACACAACAGTAAAAATAAATTTAGGCAATCAGAGCTTAGACTTCTGAGCATGGACCTGTTACGTTCCTGCAACTATTCTAATACGAATATGTCACATGTCCGTATTTCAATGTGATGAAAGAGCTTCCATATCTAAACTAAGAAACAGTTTATGATGGATGTTAAAATCTTACCAAGCATGTCTGCGTCTTTCTTGGATGGAGTACCATCACATCTTTGAGCGACCCCCCACTGCATCCTATAACATGTATTGTGTTCAATGACTGGCCGGTGACTCCAATCACCTTTAATTCTCGGGTTCAAATGAAGAATCTTAGGGGGATATTCCCCATCACCCGTCTTCAGCCCTTGCAACTCAACCATAAACTGCGAAACCAGAACCATTCCATCACCTCTTGTCAATCTCGAACGCTGAGGAACAGATTCTTTATGTGCATACTGTGGAGTTCCGAGAATTGTAATAGAAGATCCAGCAGCAAGACCACAGGGAAGCAACATGATCCCATTGGCTTTATTCAAGTCGTCTCCACTCATTGAGATCTGAGAAGGGCATGACTCGACCGTTCCTTCATTTACCGAAGAACTCTCTTCGTTGTTCTCTGTCTCAACCTTATCAACATCTTCCCAAGCCTTGGTTCCAAGCATCCAAGCCTCATCCGCCATTCTTTCAAAGGGTGACATGTGAATGGTTCTGTTCCTACGTCTCATGATCTCTGCCGATATTCTACCGTACCGAAACTGAAGTGGCTGAATCGGTTTAGACCCACTTATCTTCTCTTCTGGTGGCAATTCCTGAGTAGTGGAAGGACCACTTTGATTCTCTTCATCTTCTAGCTTGCTATGCAACATGTCATTGCGTAACGACCCGCTTAAACTAACATCTGCCGTATCCCTTAATGCTCCATCTAAACCAGTCTCCCCACTTAACATAGCGACCATCTCGATGAAATGTGGGAACTTAAACGCTAAGAAAACCAAGTAAAATACTGATATTGCCAGCAACAAATGAGACAACTTGAACCTCCTAGAACTATAAACCCCTCTAAAAGATTCGCTTTTTACTCTTTTCATTGTTAGTGTCAAGCTAAGTACTACCTCCACCAAACAAAATCAGTCGACTCGTTGCTTCAAAACCGAAATTGGCGTATCTAAAATGTAGCCAATTCATAAGAACAACAACATTCAAACAGTAAAGTGAGATTCATAACCTCTAAAAACATCAAAGAGCTTTCTCTTTAACAGATTCATAACCCAAAAGCCTACAGTAAAACAGTTAACGCTTGACACGATCTGAAGATTGATAGAGTCCACCAAATCCAATCAAATGAAACCAAATGTCTCAATTTGACACGAAAAATTGTATTACACCAGATTAATAAAAACCCTCTCTTTTGGCAGAATCTGGAAGCAATGCGAGAAAAGCAAAAGAAGAAATAAAGAAAGTTGCCAACTTTAAACCAAAACACATATCGACCTGATTGAGCGGTTTTTTCTCCTTCAATCTAGGGCTCGAAGCAAAATATTACAGACGAGGACTAAACCCACTAAGGAAATGAAGGAGAAATCGGAAGGAACCTTTTTCATTTTTAAATTTAAAAAGCCATCCAAAATTCACTCTTTCTTATCTGACTTTCATTTTTTTCTTATCTAACATTCATATGATATATTTTTTTTAATAATCATATATATTATAAGCAAAGTAAAATTTTTAGTTAAAGCTCTCTCATTCAATCACAGGGTGGCTAATTACCATTTATTCCTCTTTATATTTTTTAAAATTAAATTTAATAAACAAATTATTAAAATTGTAAATTAATTAAAAAATTATTAAAAATCGTAAATTAAATAAAAATATTAAAAATCGTAAATTAATAACAAAAATTGTTGAAAATCGAAATTTAATAAAAAACATTTAAATTTAATAAAAATTATTAAAAATCAAAATTTAATCAAAAAATATTTCAAATAGAAAATAACGAAAAATTAAAAATTGGAATTTAATAAAAAAACATTTAAAATCATATCATATATAATATATGCGAAGTAAATTTTTCGCTATAAGGTCTCTCATTCAATCTAGGTAACTAATTCCCCTTTATTCGTTAATAAAATTTTAAATATCCTTAATTAATTAATTTATTTTCGTAGTTTGTATAAAAATTTTGCTGCCATTTTTAGTTATTTTGATAATATTAAGATAATTTCAATCGAATTATCTGTTGAGCGAGATTATCTGGAAAAAAAATGTACATGTGATATGGGAAATCCTAGCTTAAGTTGAGAGCTATATATAAATATAGTACTTTATAAAATGTATCTTAAGCTCAATTGTGGTTTGGTTTCTACATTGGTCGGTTTTTCGTTGTTTTGTTTACCGTCTTTATTTTTTATAAATTAATTTTCGATTTTTTGCTATTGTTTTTTCCGTTTTTTAGTACCAGTAGTAGTGTTCCTCGATTATATGTTGTTGTTTTGTTTTGTCAGTTATTCTTCCTTACTTAACGTGATTAAAACCATGTCAACATATCATAAATCATCTTCATTGTCTAATGAACAGGTTTTAAGTCCTTTGTTTTTTTCTTTGTTATAAATATGGCTTTCTGAATTCTGTTTATTTTTGGAATAATGTAAAAGAGGCCAAATACTCTAGCAGGGCGCAGAGAAAAAACAGAAAAAGGGGAAAAAGGAAAAACGAAGTAGAAAAAGAAGAGAAAAAAATAAATTAAAACATATAGAAGAACATAGAGTTGACGAAAACGTAAAAAAATGAGGAAAAAAATGAACAAAAAGTCCTAGATCATGAACAATAAGATCAAGATGGGTAACACAAAATAGTGAAGAAGAAAAATGATAAGGAGATGAAGAACTCAAAGTTGAAGAAGAAAACTGAAAGAAAAAGAAGAACAAAAATTGTAGATGAAGAAAATAAAGTATAAGAAGATGAAAACTCGACGATGAAAAAGAAAATAAAAAGAAGAATGTAAAGATGCGAAAAAGACAAACAAAAATTAGAAAGAAAAAAAAATTTGGATAAGACAAAAATGACTAAGAAGAAGTTAAAAACAGAAGATAAAAACGGCTAATAAAAGCAAAAGAAGAATAGTAGAAGATGTTGAAGAATAAGAATTTAGAGAATACAAATTAAAGACAATAAAAATAAAACAAAGAAGAAGAGGCAGACAAATAAAACAAAAAAAAATCAACAGAAAAGACGAAGAAAAAACCGAATGAAAAAAAAATCAAGAAGTCAAAG